GGTCCGCTTCCAGGTGGATGAGAACATCCGTGCTTTCTGTGCAGGTGGGAGCGGGCCCCCGAGTCACCCCTCTGCCAACCAGGCTTCCCCTAGATAAGGGAGTCTGTTCCCTCGTTTTCCCCGTTCTCCTGACTGTATATACCCAAATGGCCTCTGTAGCTCCTCCTAGTGGTGGCAGGTGGATACTACATGGGCATCTTGCCGGTGAGGTTGAGGGGGTTGTTTTGTTATCTAAAGTTTTATTCATTTACTTAAAAGGCAAAATTCCAGAGATGAGTGAGACAGTCTTCCATCTACAGATTCACCCCCCAAATGGCCAATAGCCAAGGCTGGGCCAGGCTGAAGTCAGGAGACCAGAACTCCCTTTGAGCCTTCCACATGGGCGGCAGGAGCCCAAGTACTTGAGCCATCTTCCACTGCTTCCCCAGGGACATGAGCAGAGAGCTGGATCAGAAGTGACCAACTGGGACTCAAACCTGCACTTGTGTAGGATGGTAGCATCGAAAGCAGTGGCTTTACGTGCTGTGCCACATCTTGGCAGTTTGACAAGTCAGACTAGGTTTTGGCACAGCAGGTTAAGCTGCTGTTTGGAATGCCGGCATTCCATATCACAGTGTCAGTGATTGGAATCCTAGATATTCCACTTTTGATCCACCTCCCTGCCAATGCTTCCGGAAAGGACCAAGTCCTCGGGCTCCTGCTACCCGTGTGAGAGACCCAGATGGAATTCCAGAGGCTTCTGTCTTCAACTTGGCTGTCATAGGTATTTAGGTGTAAACCAGCCAACAGAAAATTCTTTCTTTCCAACTTGCTGTACCGTTAGAGCAGATGATGATAGCATTTAAAAATAAAATGTTGGTAGTTAAAAATATTTAAAATACTGACATTTAAAATATGATTGGTATTTTAAAAAACAAAAAGAGGACAGTGAAATCTCCATCTTTGAGTGTTTATAAAGAATGACATGAACTCTTGCCATTCAACTGGGATGTGAGAAAACGAAGATGTATCAAATTCTTTTCCATCTGATCCTGCCAGACCACTGTAAAGGGCAGTGCCCTGGAACTTTCCTTTTGTGCTCGCTGGGGACCCGGGAGAGCAGGAATAAGGCCTGGGGTGTGGTCAGTAATGAAAACGCAGGCCACAGCTGGACAGCGCTCAGAGGAAGTGCTCCTGTGACCTGAAGGGTTAAAGTCTACGTGGACTTGGCAGTGTCACTCGGATGGGAAGATGTGGATCGGATTGGGAAGTCTCCCGAGTCCCCAGCAGACACTGCAGCTTTTCTTTGCCTTCCCCGGGAGGGCCATGTTCTCTGTGCCCCGTGTTCAGGGGCAGCTGAAATGTGTGGCCCTTGGTCTCACTGCCCATCCCTCCCAGGCCTGTATGCTTGCAAAGAGGGCCGCAACAGCCCCTGCCTGGTGTACGTGACCTTCAACCAGAAGATCTATGTGTACTGGGAGGTACAGCTGGAGCGGATGGAATCCACCAACCTGCTGAAGCTGCTGGAGGCAGAGCCAGAGTTCCGTGACTTGCTGCAGGAGCTGGGCACCGGTGAGTCCAGGGGGAGTTGCCAGCAGCCTGGGCAGCCAGTGGCTTCAGAACCTCTCAACAGCCCCATTGTGGCCCTCAGATCCCAACGACCTTCCTGCGACGCGTGCCCTACTGCACCAGACCCTCTACCACCCCGACCAGTCACTGCCGCCTGAGCCCTCCAGCCTCCAGGACCCCACCTAGGGCGCCTTCCTTCTTCGCTGCTGAAGGCTCCATCTTGCACAGCACAGCTGCAGGTCGATCGTCACCATCAGTAATGACCTCCGGCTGGCTGCTTTGCACCGGGGAAGTGCAGGCCGTTTCGCAGTCTGGTCTTGTGCTCCTGGCACCCCAACCCCATTTTGCCTCCATCTGTGGAAGTGGCCACATCTGCGCTTTCTGGTCCCGCTGCATCCCTCTTGTCATGGTCTCCAAGATGCAGGTTTGTGTTCCAGACCACAATCAGAAGTTTGTCTTGGGCCATTCATAGTTTTTCTGTTCTTGATTCTCAGTGCCCTTAATTGTGTTTTGTTTTCCCCTTTCAAATTGTAGAGTGCAAACCTTTGGAGGCTTATGGCCAGCATTTTTGAATTGATGAAATAAAATTGAAAAGGTCAGAGCATGTATTTGCAGTGTAGATGAGTGTTCTTTATAAGCTCTGTGTGATGTGTATGGTGAGGGTTCTTCAAAGGCTTCATGGAGAAGGGAATTAAGTTTAGAGAGCAGGCGTTTGGCACGGGGCTGCAGGTGTTGCCTGAGATAACTACATCCTGTGGGGAAGTCCTGCTGTGCAGCTAAAGCCAGCTTCCTGCTGATGCACACCTGCGGGAAGCAGGCCCTGGCTCAGGTGCTTGGTTCTCTTCACCCGCCTGGGACATCTGGAGGGAGTTCCTGGCTCGTAGGCCTGGTCCAGCCCACAGCTAATGTAGACATTTGGAAGTAATCTAATGGGTGGAAGATTTCTCTGTGTCTCTTCTCTCTCTCCATCTCTCTCAGGCTTTGAAATGAAATGAAAATTTAACAACAAAAGTTTGTTTTGGTGCAAAAGAGCAAATCCCTGCACACGTTTTTCATACTCTACCTTTTCTGTAAACTTTTTGAAGATCCCTCCTTATGCACGGATTTTAAAATGTTTGCACGAGGCTGGCATGGTAGCCTAGCAGCTTAAGTCCTCGTCTTGCATGTGCCGGGATCCCATGTGAGTGCCAGTTCTAATCCTGGCAGCCCTGCTTCCAAACCAGCTCCCTGCTTGTGGTCTGGAAAAGCAGTCGAGGACGGCCCAAAGCCCTGGAACCCTGCACCAGTGCGGGAGACCCGGAAGAAACTCCTGGCTTTGGATTGGCTCAGGAAGTGGCCACTTGGAAAGTAAATCATTGGATGGAAGATTTTCCTTTTTGTCTCTCCTCTCTGTGTATCTGACTTTCCAATAAAAATAAATAAATCTTTTAAAAAATATTTGCACCAAAATAAACTTAGCTTTTTATTTCCGTTCTCCACACACTTTGTGAAGCTCCCGCTGTGAGCAGCAGAGCTCAGTGATGTCAGGTGGATGTGGGCCACCCCAGGGAAGAGCCCCCTGGGCATTTCTGCGAGGGAACCAGAGCAGAGAGGGGAGGACAGCCACAGGACAACAGCAGCTTAGAGAAAGCAGAGTTTATTGAAAGGGGAGGCAGCTGGGCTGAGGGCTCGCCCTGGGGCCTTGGGGTGCAGTTACCGAAGCAGCAGGGAGCAGACAGAGAAAGGAACTGCATAGCTCAGGAAGGCAGAGGTGGTGGGGCAAGGCAGGGAGGGAGGGAGACTCCTTGAGCCTGGAAAAGGTCAAATCTAGGCTGCAGGTTGTCCTTGCCGGCCCAGGGCCCCAGCTCCCTGGGGGCTCTAGAGCTTTCTCTATCCCTGACCCATCTGCAAGACTCAGACCGGCCTGACATGCCCGGGCCTTGGCTTGGTAAGGCTTGGATTCTTCACAGTGAAATCAGAAGAGCCTTTGTCTTTTTGCTTTGGTCACGAGTCCAAGAGGGAGATGAAAGACCACTGATTCTAAAACAAGACAGCTTCAACTCCAGGAGGTCAGGGATAAGGGGTAGAAGAAGGCTCGTGAGGGCAGTAGTTCTAGAAGTAAGAAAATACTACGGCAGGTGTTGGTACAGTGGGTAAAGCTGCCACTTCTGGAAGCTCACATCTGTATCCATCAGAGTGCCAGCTCTGAGTTATAGCTGGTGATTTAATAATTCAAATCCAGCTCTCTACCAACGCTTAGGGGGGCAGCAGATGATGCTGTAAGTACTTGGGTCCCTGCTACCCACGTGAGAGACTCAGGTGAAGTTTCTGGCTTCCTTCTGGCCTGACAGCAACTGTTGTTACAGGTGTTTGGGAAGTGAAGCCAGCAAATGAAAGATTCTCCCTTTCTTATTTGCTCCACTTCCAAATACATAAGTAAGCCTTAGAGAAACAGACAATCCATTTGACTGGTTCACTCCCCAAATGGCTGCAATAGCCAGGGCTGGGCCGGCCCAAAATCAGCAGCCTGAAGCTCCATCCAGGTCTCCCATGTGGGTGGCTGGAGCTCAAGCATTTGGCCCGTCGTCTGCTGCTTTTCCAGGTACATTAGCAGGGAGCTGGATGGGAAGTGGAGCAGCCCGGGACTTGAACTGGCACTGTTGCATGCAGCAGCAGCTTAACCTGCACACTGGTCCCATAAGTTTTTAAAAACAAGTGCTTGGTAGGTTAAGTCTGAAGACCGACAGCCCCACCATCTTGTCCCATCTCTCTGGGCTCTTCTGCAAACACTGCCAAAGGTCGGCAGTCCAGTGGGTGCAAAAGGCAAGTGGGGCGTGAGACATGTAGGCTAGGGCTTTGCACGGGGGGATTCAGCCATCACTGACCCAGACAAGATGTTGAATGAATGCCGTCTGCTTGTGAGTTGCACATTCCTGTCCTAAGTCACCGCCATCAGCATGGATTCCTAGTTTGAATGCCCTCCCCCATCACCTGCAAGCAAATGGGCATGGAATCAGGCGCCTGCAGGGCCAGGGAACCAAGGTTGGTCTGGCATGGCAGTGTGATGGTGGGAGATGAGGAGCCCCGCAAGGTGAGCAGGCAGATGTGGGGGTCAGGGTCATTCAGGAGCTCTGGGGTGAGGGCAGAGGTCAGGACAGCAGTCAGCTGCAGGCTCTGGGCTCGATCCCTCCGATACTCCACAGCCAACGCCCAGAGCCCCATTTTGTGCTCGACTCTGCAGCCTCCACCTGCTGTTGCGCTTCTGGGAAAGGAGAGACTGAGTGATCAGGGAAGCCAGAAGCCCACAGGCAAGTCAAGCTCCCCGGGGAGACAGCAGTTGCTGGCAGCAGAGAGGCCTGTGGCAAACTAAGCGACGTGGGTCAGTCGGGGAGAAGGGTCAGGTCAGTGAGAAGAGGGACACACGGTCCCCAGCTGTGTGGCTGTCCCTGCAGCTGGTGCCCCGGCGACAGTGGTTACTGCCCAGGCTCTTGATCCAAAGGCAGGAAGGGGAGCTCTGAGGACGCAGCCTTCAGCCTCAGCACCCCCTGTTCCAGGTCGATGCAGCACTGGAGGAAAGGGAGGGGAGGGTCATGTGAGGTCCCCCTCCCCTGGGCCCTTCCCTGCAGCTGCACCTGCGCCAGGCTATCTGCTCTTTCTTCTATTCCGTTTACCCAGGCCCCTATCAGAGAAAGGCCCAGTTCTCCGGGTTTTTCACTTGTGGGTAATTAAGAGCTCACAGGTGATGCAACACCTTCTAGAAGTCTTTTTCATCAGCACCTGATGCGTGCTTCCGTGCCTGTGCCCCTACCACTTTGCCCAGCTCTCTGGGGCACCTTACCTTGAGGGAAAGCAGCGTCTGCAGTCCCAGGCAGAGGTCAGGGCCCTCAGCATCTACAGGAACCATTGGGGGACAAAAGACAAGTGCTGTGCTCACTGCTGCTCTCCGCGGGGCACCCACCTACCCCTTCTCTGTCCACCAGGTCTGAGACCACTGGGGATGCATCGTGGAGGACCCCTGGTGCTGGCCCCACCCCGAGGAGGACATCAGGAGAGGAGCCAGGCTGGGAGGAGGGAGGACTCACCCACCACCTGGGCCGTGCACGCCACAGTCTCCTGCCCCAGCTGCAGCTCCAGCTGCTCCACCTGGCTCGGGGGCTCAGGGGACAGGTCCCCACCGGGGCCTTTGAGGACGCTCCTCCCTAGCCTGCAGTTGGGAAGCAAGGTGTTAAGGTTCCCACTCCACCCCCATTATGTCCCTTTCCGCTGTACGCTGTCCTGTCCTCAACCCCTGGCCCCTCCTGGGATCTAAATTCTTATCTTGCTCAGTCAGAGCCTCCAGCCACTCTTTCGGAATAAATTTCAGTTTTATGGGAACATAATTCATATACATAAAATCTACAGTGATTCTTAGTATAGCCAGACGGTGCAGCCCTCAGCACCATCTAACGCGAGGACAGTCACATCACCCCAGGAAAAAACCCCATGTCCCAGCCACAGCTCTGGGCCCCACTCACCCCAGGCGGCTGAGGCACGCGGAGGAGACCTGATTGTGTGGGGCACCTGTGTCCACGGCCACTCTAAGCAGCTGGTCCTGGCACTGGGGAAGGGAATTGGGGGAGGGTTCAGTGAGCCCACAGGATGGGTCCTTTCTCAGCCCTTTTAAGATCCCCTATTAGGGATGGTTTTTAAAACGATTGGCCATTTTTAATTTTTAGAAAGGACAGAGAAAAAAGAATCTTTCATCTACTGGTTTATTTCTTCAAGGGCGAACAGCAGCCAGGGCTGGGCCAGGCTGGAGCCAAGCACCAGGAACCCCTTCCAGGTGTCCCACACAGACGGCAGGGACCGAGTGTCTGAACCAGCATCTGCCTTCCAGGTGCATCAGCAGGAAAGTGGGTCAGAAGCAGGACTGTATTCAGGCACTTGGACATGGGGTGTGCGTGTCCCACACAGCAGTTCGACCTGCAGTATTATGATGTCTGAAATGAGTCTTTAAAAGATTGTGGCTTCCTTTTGTAGAATCAAATGATTTCTAATGATTTAAAAAAACATTGTGGCTTAGCACATAAAGCCACAGCCTATGGCACGTGCATCCTCTGTGGATACCATATTAAATCTCAGCTGTGGGCCCAGCATGATAGCCTAGCAGCCAAAGTCCTCGCCTTGAACACGCCCCGGATTCCCATATGGACACTGGTTCTACTCCTGGCAGCCACGTTTCCCATCCAGCTCCCTGCTTGTGGCCTGGGAAAGCAGTCGAGGATGGCCCAAAGCCTTGGGACCCTGCACCCGCGTGGGAGACCTGGCAGATTTTCCAGGCTCCTGGCTTCAGATCGGCTCAGCTCCAGCTGTTTCAGCCACTTGGGGAGTGAATCCTTGGACGGGAAGACCTCTGTCTCTCCTCCTCTCTGTATATCTGACTTTGGAATAAAAATAAATACTTATTTAAAATAAAGAAACAAAGCCTGGCTGCTCCACTTCTAATTCAGCTCCCTGTGAATGGCCTGGGAAAAGCAGTGGAAGATGACCCAGGTATTTGGGTCATCTTGCCATCCCTGTGGGAGACCTGGATGAGGCTCCTGGCTCCTCGGTTTGTCTTGGTCCAGCTCCGGCCACTGTGGCCTTCTGGGGGAAAAAAAGTGGAAGATGAGGATTTCTCTCTTGTGCGCATGTTCTGTAACTTTTAAAAAAGACTTATTTATTTATTTTAATGATTTTTTTTAATTGGAAAAGCAAATTTACACAGAGGAAGAATGTTGGTTCACTCTCCAAGAGGCTCTAACAGCCAGAGCTGAGCCAGTGCAAAAGCAGGAAGCCAGGAGCCTCTTCCTGGTCTCCCATGGCTTTGGGCCATCCTTGACTGCTTTCCCAGGCCACAAGCAAAGAGCTGGATGGGAAGTGCAGTGGAGTAGCTGGAACTCGAACCAGCGCCCATATGGCTATTAGGCTACTGCATAAGGCACCAAATAAATGACTTAAAAAAAAAAAAGCAGAACTATACTTAATGAATCCCTAAGTTTGGGAAAGATCCAGCCCAAAATGGAGACATGTTTAGAGGCGTCCTTGGGAGACTGAGAGTGTCCTGACTGGAGAACAGCAGGTCGGAGGCAGAGGAGGGAGGAGACGCTGGGATCCCTCGACAGGACATTCAGAGGCTCACCACTGGAAACAGAGGAAGCCAAGTTCACTTCTTGGATGCACGTGCACAGGCTATCTTCCCATCTCAAGCATGTACTGAGCATTTGTACCCATCTATGCAAGAAACGCTACTGGAAGCTCCATCCGTGAACATAACCGTTCCCTGGGCTGGCGCAAAGGCTCAACAGGGGAATTCTCTGCCACCAATGGCCGCAGCTCATATGGGCACTGGTTCGTGTCCCAGCTGCTCCACTTCCCATCCAGTTCCCTGCCTGTGGCCTGGGAAAGCAGCAGAGGATGAAAGCCCTATACCCATGTGGAAGACCCAGAAGAAGCTCCTGGCTCCTGGCCTTGGATCAGCTCAGCTCTAGCCATTGCAGCCATTTGGGGAGTAAACCAGTGGATGGAAGATCTTTCTCTTTTGTGTAAATCTGCCTTTCTAATGAAAAATAAATCTTGAAAAAAAAAATACTGTTTCCTAGATGTCTACAGGAAGTACCATGTGAGCTGAATGTTCTTGGGGGCTGGGTGGGACAGAGACTACTTCCGGCTGGGGATGCCAGGTTTCCAGGAGGAGGGGACAGCTGAGCTGGCCTTCAGTGCACAGAGTGGCTGGAGAGTGAAAGGAGAGCTCTCCAGGCATTTGATGGGAACAGTTCAGGAGAGACTGGGCAACGACACAGCTGCAGAGCTAACAGGACCATCCATCACCTGGGAACACATACAGTTTTTGCAGGAGAGGTACCATCTGTCCTTGCACATGGAATATCTTCCCATTCAAATATTATGCTTTTATGAAAAAGATATATAGTTTTTTTTATTGGAAAGACAAATTTAGAGAGAGAGAGAGCAATCTTGTATATCTGCTGGTTCACTCCTCAAATGGCCACAACAGCCAGAGCTGAGCCAGCCTAAAGCCAGGAGCCAGGAGCTTCTTCGGAGTCTCCTGCATGGGTGCAGGGGTGCAAGGACTTGGGCCGTCCTCTGCTGCTTTGCCAGGCCATAAGCAGGGAGCTGGATCAGAAGCAGAGTAGCTGAGACATGAAGTGGCTCTCACATGGGATGCCACGGAGGCTTAGACTATTATTATTATTCATGGTGTTGGCCCCTAAATATTATACTTTGATAAAGAGGGTGGAACAGTGGTGTTGCCGAAGGGAAACTAGAGGATCTAGGGTAGGTGCTAGGTGCAGTGGTTAACGTGCCACCTGCGATACCCACATTCCACACTTGGTTACTGTGCTACTGTCCTGGCTCCTCTGTTCCAACTGAGCTCCCCGCTAATGTGCACCCTGGGAAAGAAGCAGGTGATGGCTTGGTCCCTACCAAGTACTTGGCTCCTGCCATCCACATGGCAGGACGTAGACCTAGATTCAGTTTCTGGATTCCTAACTTCAGCCTGGGTCAACCATGGCTGCTGTGAGCACTTAGGGAGTACACCAGCAGGTGGAAGGTCCCTATGTTTCTCTCTCTCTCCTCTTTCTCTGCCTTTCAAATAAATAATAAACACAAGAAGGAATATGCCATGTTTAGGCCCAGGCAGCCGGGAAAGATGACTCTTTCTTCCTCTCTCCCTCCCTCCCTTCCTGGCCACAGGAGAGCAAGTGAGGTGAGCCAGTAGCAGGTGGAGGAGAGCAGTTCATGAGAGTGGGTGCCTGCAGGGGCCTCCTACCTTGCAACTGACGAGCAGGGCGGGGAGCAGCGTCCCACTCCTGCTGCCGGGGCTCTCCTGGCCCTGAGTGGGAACCTGCGCCAGGGGAGACTTGCACTGGAGCCAACTCTGGTTTCCTTCCACCAGGCGTCTCTGGATCACGCTGTGTGGCTGCTGGCTCCGTCACAAAACAACACAGAGACAGGTCTACACCCAGGAACCCAGGCCTCTCTGTCCCACCCCCACATTAGACACCCCAGGTCCATCCTAGACCCGAGCCTCAGGGAGGAAACGACATGAACTCACCCAACAATAGCCAGAGCGGAGCAAGCAGCAAAGCAGGCTGTTTTTCTGGAGCCTCAATAGACTACTTGGCCATGGAAAGAGAGGCAGAGGAGTAGGCTCCCTGCTGACGGTTCAGCTTATTCTGAGGGGACATTGTATCTGAAAACTACAACACTTTCTTTCCCAAGGGACATCCCTCGACCTCATCCTTCACCGCCTGCAGATCCCCAGGCTTGATGGTGTGATGGAAAGAAGCAGTAAAGTCTTGAAACCCCTAAGACACTGGGAGTCCCTTAGACCTGTCCACCACCCGCAAACACCCCTGCCCTGTCTGCTCACTTGCTAACTTTACCAGCTTTGCCTACTGTCTTTGGAGGACCCTCTCTTCTCTCTCCCAGCCTCCCTGGCACTCCCCTGGCACTCCCCTGGTGACTCTGGGAGCCCCTCCCCCTCCCAACAGCCACAGGAACCTGCCTCCGCTGCTGCCTCACAGAGCCACCACCAGCTGGAAGCTTCCAGACTGAGGTCAAATCTCAGGGCTGAATCAGAGATTCATTTTAAGAAGATTCCTGGAGACTTGTGTGCACATTAAAGCAGAAGAAGCAGCCAAGTACAAAAATAAAACTAACCATGGGCCTCCCTGTTGCAAATGCACTGGGGCAGACACAAGGTGCAGCTGCATCTTCCCACACTGGAGTGCACGGGTTCAAGTACTAGCTCCACTCCCCTTCCCTCCCGCCTCCCCACCTGAGCTTCCGGCTAATTCACACCCTGCAGGGTGTAATACAGGACAGGGTAGTTGAGTCCCCACCACCCATGTGGGAGGTCCAGATTGAGTTCCTGTCTCCCGGTTTTGACCTGACTCAGCCCTGGCAGTTGGAGGCATTTCAGAAGTCAACTAGCTGGTGGGAGACCCACCTCTCTTCTCCCTCTCCCCACTCCCTCTGCCTTTCAAATAATTTTAGACACAATACTGAAATGCATCAGGGATTGTACGATAGAGCCCAGACTTTGGAAGATGATGGCCAACGCAGAGAGCCCAGCCACTGCCTGTCTTCAGCCTCATCCCTCCCTACCCCGTGACTCTGCTTGTCTGTCCCAGCAACACTGCTTATCCGGCCTGGACCAGGCTGCTTCACTTCCATGCCTCCCCTTCTGGTCTATCTCAGCCACACCCATGAATGCCTACCTCAACACACATTACGTGGGAGAGATATTTTATTACCGGGCGTCCTGTACCTGACGCAGGGTGGCCTCCTCTGGAATAACACCTCCATCCTCATGCGCCTCCTCCCCCCACCAGTACAACAGGCGGGGGAGTGTCCATGCTTCTTATTGTGGTTATTTTTGGATTTCACTCCCACCAGCCATTAGCCCAGGAAGGTCTGTCACTTCTCTGTATGCCAGGACTACCTCAGCGTGCAGCAGACACCTGCCCAGGAAGGAGGTAGCTCCCCTTGGGCTCCACACACCACCCTCCACCTGCCCTCTGCTTTATGTCCTTGGTTTTGAGAGGCCCCTGAGATTACTGCCCCAGCATGAGACCCTCCCCCGACTCTGCCGCTGTCCCAGTTCCTGCCACTTGTCCCACAAAACATTCAAGCTTTCAGCCTCTCCCATTGTTGTGCAGACTGTTCCAGCCCTATTGCACAAGAGGGAGGCCATGGGGGCCTCCCAGTTTGTCTCAAAGTCACAGGAGGTGGCCACTAGAGATGGGATTAGGAGGTGCCAAGACAGTGCCACGATGAAAAGTCTAGAACTTTCTCACCGGAGACTTAAGGCATCCTCCTGGGGATGTTGGGAGAGTGCCTCTCCCAAGCTGCCCAGATACAAATTGGTCCGGGAGCCTTGAGCCTGCTTCCCTGTTCCATCAGCAGGGATGCTCTGCTAAGCCTGGTACATTCACAGGGAGGAAGAAGTCTCCCTTCTCCCCTAGCTGTTTTCTGAAACCTCAGGGCATTGCTTCTCCTCTTCAGAAGCTGCTGGCCTGGAGCTGGGGGAGCACCTGGACCCCATAATGGCTTCCTGGAGGCAAAATCCATCTGCAGGAATAGGGCTGGGTCAGGAAAGGCAGCTGCTGGTGCGCCCTGGGCCATGGGACAAGCTTCCTGCCTGCTTCCCTGCAAGCTCTGGTGGGTGCCCCCACTTGGGGACCCAGAGATGAGAGCAGGGGTACAAAGGGCTCCCAAGCCTTTCTCCTCAGGTCTTCCTCTCTTCTAGGAGTCCAAGCCAGATGTGGGCCCACCGCCTGGGGGGGGGGGAAGGGGGCCCCTACAATGCTGATTCCACCCCACAGCTGCAGGAGTAGGTACAGCATTTTCACAATATTTTCTACAAGCCAGCTTAGCTCATGCAGCTCACCACCACCCCTCAAGGCAGGGACGGTTGGTTTTATCCCCATTTCGCAGACAGAGAACTGAGGCACAGGTTCTAAAGTCACATGCCCAGGTTGGTAAGTGGACAGAGCCAGGAGCTGACACCAGCGCTTACAGTCCTTCCCCACAGCATGGCTGCTGCCCATCCACAAGATAAGCCCTGGGCTCCCAGGGTGAATAGCAGGGAGCGGTTGAGCACCAGGATGGGGTCCCTCCCAGCCACCAAGCCCTGGGGAACGGTCCCAAAGAGGAGGAACCCCAAAATGGCCAGAGGGAAGCCCCAAAAATTGACAGGATGCTCATCCTCTACCCGCCCCGCCTCAGCCTGGCAGGGCCCCAGCCCAGAGCAGGTGCAGGGAGGTGGGGAGGAGGGTTAGGTGGGGTGCTCACCAAGTCCTTGGAGGTACCGAGTCTCTTGAGGCTGTCGAGGGGCAGCAGGTCAGCCGAGTCCTTGTGCAGGAACTGGGCGGCCTGTTTGAGCCGCCGCTGCTGGCTCAGGGGGGCCCGGTCCCGCGGCGGCTCTGCCTCCGGTCCCCTTCTCCTGGTGTCGCCCTCATCTCTTCTTGCTTCCTGCTGGGTGCTCATGGCCCCCTCGAGGCGGAGGGGAAGGCACCTCTGTCCGCCGGGGGTCTCCCTTCTGGAAACCCTGCCTGTTGACAGGAGGGTCTCCGCCGGAGGAAAGGAAGGGAGAAACGGGCAGGAGCAGCGCGCGTCACAGCCCAGTTCTCAGAGATTGCAGCAGAGGGAGTGAGGCGCCGGCTGGAAAAACCCGGCTCTGGAAGAGGGAGGGAGGGAGGCAGGGAAGGGGAGTTCCCTCAGCCGAGTCGCCTCGGCTGGGGTCCTGGCCCCAGCGCCCGGGAAAGGGGCGTGCAGTCGGCTGGCTGCGTGGCGAACCGTCGGGGTGCCCCTGCCGGCTGATTTGGAGAGGCTGCGCGCGCGCGCCGCTGGGCGGCGGGACGCCGGCCTGCGTGCCAGTGTGCGTGGGGCTTGCGGGCGTTCGAGTCCACGGGGTGCCGACCTGACTCTTCTCTGTCGTCCTCTCAGCCGCCGCTGGTTTTCTCTCTGCAGGCCAGGAACTGGATTCTGAGCCGCAAAGAGGTACAACGTGAAAAATCCTCTCCTCCTGGGAACTTCAGCTTTCTGGGTTTCTCACTTTGCGCGGTCCTAGAGGTCAGTCTTAAGCTCACGGACTGGGGGTTCTGTCTTCCAGGGATGGCAAGAACAGCTCTGAAGAGCCCCCACAAGGGCACCCCAGCTTCTCGGGCTCAGTCCTGGGTCTTTTTAAAACAGTATGCGGGTGGAGCCCCCCTCACTCTCAAGTGTTTGAGACCAGAAGCATTTTATATTTGGGAATGTTTGTACATACACAGCGAGGTATGTTGGGGACACAGGTATAAGCATGAACTTCACATATGTTTCATACATGACTTATACAGCCTGGAGGTATGCAGTGTTTCCAGTGCACACACATTTTGGCTGCCACTGGCACGTGAGCTCAAATGCGGAATTTTCCACATCTGGCATCTTGTTGGCGCCAGATCTGAAAACATTAGGAACTTCAGATTTCTCAGATTAGGGCTGCTCAACCTGTATTTCTAACATAAAAAAAAAGTTAGAAAGAATAGCACAACCCTTACTCTTTACTCACTATCTAGTTAAAAAATTAACTTACAGGATAGTTCAAGCTCTTTCTGCACCTTTCCTCTCTCCTATTTACCAAATGCATACTTCTTTTATACTATTTTTTAATTAAATTTATTTATTTATTTGAAAAGCAGGACAACAGAGAGAATAAGAGACATAAAGGGGGGAGGGGTAGGGAGAAATTGATTTTTTCCAACCACTGGATTACATCCCAAATGACCACATCATCCAGGTCTAAGTCAGGCCAAAATTGGAAGATTAAGAACAACATGCAGGTCTCCCACAGGCATGACAGGAGTCTCAAGTGTTTGGGCCACTGTCTGCTGCCTTCCCAGGCACCTCAGCAGGAACCTGGATTGGAGGTGGAGCACCTGGAATTCAAACAAGGGCTCCCTGATACAGAATGCTGATATGCAAACAATGGCTTCATCAGCTGGGCCACAAAGCCAGTCCTTTTTTTACTCTCCATGTATATGCATGTATCTGTATCTATCCTAAGCACTGTATCCCATCCTGGGAGCTGCAGCCTCGTCAGAGCGACCCGCAGTAACCCCCACAAGGCCTGCCCCCTTGCCCTGGTTCCCGTGCTTGCCAGTATGTGCAGCTGACTGGATCCCATTCAGCTCTCATATATGTCAATGGGCATTGAAGCTTAGTTCAACCCAACCAGCCCCACTATCCAGCCCACACTGGTGATATGAGCATTTTAACTAATGTCTAACTACTAGGGAAGAACCCCCCCCTCCCCCTGCTCAATAATACCTCTGTGATTTGATGTATCTTTGATGGGAACCAAACCAAGTCCCCAGCACTGGGGGCTGACACCATGGCAAAACATGGTTAAGCCACCACTTGAAGCACTGGCATCCCATATGAGCTCTGGTTCCTGTTCCAGCTTCTCTACTTCCCATCTAGCTCCGATCTCTGGGAAAGCAGTGAAGGATGGTCCACATGGGAGACCCAGAAGAAGTTCCTGGCTCTTGTTTCTGCCTGACTCAGCCCTGGATATTGTGGCCATACAATAGTGAACCAGTGGATGAAAGATCTGATTTTCAAATAATAATTTACAAATAATAATAAGTATCTTTAAAACTTTTTACTTTTAATTTTTTTTTTCATTGGGAAGGCAGATTTATAGAGAAAAGGAGACACAGAAAGATTTCCCATCTGCTGGTTCACTCTCCAAGTAGCCACAACAGCAAGAACTGAGTTGATCTGAAGTCAGGAGCTTCCTCTGGGTCTCCCACATGGGTCCAGGGTCCCAAGGCTTTGGGCCGTCCTGAACTGCTTTCCCAGGGCACAAGCAGGGAGCTGGATGGAAAACAGAGCAGCTGAGACAAAAGCCAGCGCCCATAGGGGATCCTGGTGCTGGCAAGGCAAGGATTTAGCTGCTGGGCCACTGTGCCAGGCTTTCTTTAAAACTTTCAAATGCATTGATCAAATGTTGCTTATATGTGCTGAGCAATCCCTGGATGAGGATCACATTCGCCCTGTTCTTTGGGATGCAGTCCAATCCAGACAGCTTCGCGGCACGTGCACGTTCCCACAGCCAGAAATCTTCGTTCCAGCCAATCCGTGTCTTTGTGGAACATCCACAACCACTGCAAATGCCTAGGAAACGTTGCTTTACAATCCAGGTTCACTGTCAAGGAAGCCATGCTAAAATCCCAAGCCCCGAGTCTCAGGATGTGAGAGCATATTTGGAGATAGGGTCTTGACAGGTATTCTCAGGTTAGAATGAATTCATCGATATGACTGCTCTTGCAATGAAAGGAAACCTGGCTGCAGAGAGGCGCACACACCTACAGGGAGACTCCTACGAGGGCGCTGCTGGGGTCCAGACACTGCATCTGCAAGCCAGTGAAGAGCGAGGGGAGGCGCTCAAGGGGGCCTCAAGTCATCCTGTCTCAGCGCCCTCAGCACCCATCCTCTGCCATATACACAAGGGCATTAGCAGGAAGCTGAAGGCAGGAGCTTCCCACGTGGGTGCAGGGTCCCAAGACTGTGGGAAGTGGAGCAGCCCGGACATCCATGCTCATTTGGAGCCAGTGTTGCAACTTAACCCACTTTGCCGCAGTGTTGCTTTGCCTTTGTACATGCTTCCCTTTCTTCCCTTGTCAGTATAAGGCAAACTCCCTGTTCTAAATTGCTTGTTCTAGCACTACAAGCTCTGAGATCTTCTTTCTTGGGAACTGAAACAAAACCCTCAGGCCTGGTACAATCACCTAGTGGCAAACATCTTTGCCTTACACACGTCAGGATCCTATGTGAGTACCAGTTCATGTCCTGGCTGCTCCACTTCCCAAAGTCTTGAGACCCTGCACCTGCGTGGGAGACCCAGAAGAAGCACTAGGCTCCTGGCTTCGGATGGGTGCAGCTCGGGCCATTGTGGCTACTTGGGGAGTGAACCATTGGACAGGAAATTTTTCTTTCTTTCTCTCTATAAATCTGAGTTTCCAATAAAAATAAATAAATCTTAAAATAAAACCCTATTGACATGATCATGGAGACTGTTAGGAATGGTTTGTGTGTTTGCCTAAAAGAAAAAAAATCTCCTGGACTCCCTCTCCTTGTCATTTTGGAGGGTGAGGACTCTAACAGTTGCAGTTTAAAAGCCAATTCATTCATGTGAAGCAACCATTGAGATGCTCTGTAATGATGAGCTGTAGTAGAAACTTCCAGAACACTAAGCAGGAATGTGAAACCATTCGGAACTGTCAGGAATGGCTGTGAAGGAGTCCCAGCCGAGACTTGGGGGGTCTGGCTGTAATTCCTCTCACGTCTTCCGTCTTGTGATTCACCATAGTGGATGCGGTGATGGGATCTAAATTCAGAACTACTGAAAGGACAAAATGCCTTGCTTCTCTTTAGAGTGGAATTTTCCTTTCATCCAGAAAAATACATTCACTGAGTGCGTATGCCACTCCCCACAGTGGGCCGGGCCCTGGGGAAGTAACGGTGAATGGGCAGAGTCCCTGGCTCCGTGGAGTTTGCATTTTGATAGAGAAAGCTGACAATGAACCACTAAGGGTATCACTCCTCAAGCGGCTGCAACGGCTAGAGCTGAGCTGATCCAAAGCTAGGAGCCAAGGATCCAGGATCCAGGAGCCTCCTTTGGGTCTCCCACGTGGTCCCAAGGCTTTGGGCTGTCCTGGACTGCTTTCCCAGGCCACCAGCAGGGAGCTAGAATGAAAGTGGAGCAGCTGGGACATGAACCGGCACCCTTCTGGGATCCTGACGCATGCAAGGCAAGGATTTAGCCACTAGGCTACCGCACTGAAAAACATCTTCTTAAGAGAATTATTCATTTTTATTGGAAAGTTAGATTTTTACAGAAAGAAGGAGAGATAGAGAAAAAGATTTTCCAGCTGCTGGTTTGCTCCCCAAGTGGCTGCAATGGTAATCTGAAGCCAGGAGCTTCTTCTGAGTCTTTCACATAGGTGCAGGGTCCCAAAAACTTGGGCTGACCTCTACTGGTTTTCCAGGCCACAAACAGGGAGCTGGAAAGTAAGTGGAGCAGCCAGGATACAAACTGGCGCCCATTTGGGATCCTTGGCGCGTGCAAGGTGAGAACTTTAGCCACTAGGCCAGAACGGACTGAACGTTTTTAACTTACTTATATGGCTGCATTACATCGCTTTAATTTTTCTTTTTTAATTACCTTCTTGTTAGAGAACCACCATCCACTGTTTCCTCTTCAAGTACCTGCAAGAGTTGGGAGGGGCCTGGGCTAAAACTAGGGGTCGGAAATTCAACCCAGGTCTTCCACCTGCGATCCGGTGACTTGAATCATCAGGTTTGCCTCCCAGGGTCTGCGTCAGCAGGAACATGGAGTCTGAACCTGGATTGGACCACCAGAGGCTGCAAGGGGAAGCGGTGTTACAGTTGCTGGACTGGATGGGCACGCGTGCATTTCTGTTGGGCAGTGTTGGTCTATTCCACTGCACAGTCCATCTCTGCTCTAATCTGCTCTAATCTACCCTGATAGGTCTCAGCTCACCTGCAAGTCCTTGATCTCTACCTGAAACCCCTATGGTTACGAACCACTTGTCTAGGCCTCAGGAGCAATGGGGATTATGCTGCCTTCGCCGGGACAGCCTTCATGCCTTTCACGGTCAGTCCTCAAGGTTAATTAGTAGGAATTCTCACCTTTGATGAAAGTATGGGGGTTAGCGGAAGCCCACCCAACACAGGGCAACCACCCAGGCAAAAGCCCCAAAAGGACATTTCCAGAACATTCTCTCTAGAGTGAGTTGTTTGGAGCCAGAGAGAAGCTCTCTTGGGACTCTGGAAGGTCAAAGGCAGCCAGTTCTATTTCGAGCCTGCTCCTCTGGGCCTGCCATATGCACCAAGGACAGGAATGGAGTTGTTTTCCAGAACACTCCTGTTCAACAAGGCTCCCAGCAACCCTGTGCCAGTTTGGAAATTTGTCTCTGGGAGAGGACATCCTATATTTCCACTCCCTGAAATGTGGGCCTTGTCAAAACTAGCCTGGGTGGAGTGGCTTAGGTTAGTTTCACACTAGGATGATTTTCCCGTTTTATAGATAATAAAACGAAGACATGGACAAGCCACATCACAGGGCAGGTGGTTGGCCTAGCAGTAAAGATGCTGCTAGGGGCATCTGCATTCCAGTTTACAGTGCCCGGGTTTGAGTCCCAGCTCCACTACTGATGCCACTCCAGAAGGCAGCAGATGGTGGTGGCTCAACCAGCTGAGTTTCTGCCATTCATGTGAGATGGGACTGAGTTCTGGAATCCTGACTTTGGTCCTACCCTGCCTTAGTATAGAAACTGGGGGAGTAAACCAGCAGTTGGGAACTTTTTTTCCTCTCTCTTTCTGACTTTGAAGCAAATACATAATTTTTAAAACTTCATTGAAGGACCCGACACGGTGACCTAGCAGCTAAAGTCCTCACCTTGCATGCCCGGCATCCTGTATAGGCACCGGTTCTAATCACAGCAGCCCTACTTCCCATCCAGCTCCCTGCTTGTGGCCTGGGAAAGCAGTCGAGGACGGCCGAAAGCCTTGGGATGCTGTACTTGTGTGGGAGACCGGGAAGAGGCTCCTGGCTCCTGGCTTCGAATGGGCCCAGCTCCAGCTGTTGCAGCCACTTGGGGAGTAGATCATCAGATGGAAGATCTTCCTCTCTGTCTCTTCTCTGTATAAAAATAAATAAATCTTTTAAAAAAATGTTTAAAAAGCAAACTTCAAAGAAGAAGAAAGATCAGGTGGCTTGCAACTACCTGTAGAAGCAGGCTGAACATGGGACATCGAATTCAGACAAGCTTGGTCAGGAATTCCTACTCTGAGGCCAGAGCATGGGGTAGCGAGTGAAACTGCCATCTGTAAGGGCAACATCCCATATGGGTGCTGCTTCGCATCCCGTATGCTCCACTTCCGATCCAGCTCTCTGTTAATTGGCCTGGGAGTGCCAGTGGAAGGTGGCTGAAATACTTGGGTCCCTGCCAGCCATATTGGAGATGTGTATAACACTCCCGGCTACCACCTGGCTCAGGGATGGCTGATGGAGCCATCTGGAGAGTCAGCTAGTGGCTGGAAAATCTCTGTCTCTCCTCTCCCTGTAACTCTGACATTCCAATGAATCTCCTAACTCTACCTGTTACCCTAAGTAATGGGTTTCATTTTTTTTTTACATCTATCTCTCCAGTTGCAAAACTGAAACAGCACATAATTTGTGGAGTTGGTGTGAAGATTAAATGACAGAATAGCAAAAAATAAAGAGTACATTCCACACTTCACTTATCTCTACAATGAAGATCTAACAGAATTTTCATCCTAGCAGAATTAAATGTGTCGATTCAGTGATACCTTTCAAATCAGTGTCTGACATGCAGGAAATACCAGGAGGGATCAGAGCTGGAGGGCTGATGCTACCTGCTCCTATGGCGGATGTCTGAAGGACCGCGCTAACTGCCGGGCCAGACACCTGCCTTCCTTCCCTCTCTTTCCACACACACGAGGAATGATGGATGCGCTGTGCAGTGGGACTCCAGAGGACAGGGCAGGACACATTCTGTTACTGTCCTGTTCACGCGGCAGACGAATCACCAGCCCAGACTGTTGTTCTTGGTTGCACAATTCCAACTCCAAAAGGCCACCGCTTGAGACCTCCTTCTTTCTCCTCCCACTCCATGGCCATAGGACTTCTTTTCCAGTTCTTACCCCTGCCGGGTTCTGTACCCCACCGGCAAGAACACCAGAGAAACTGGCAGACTTGCCCAGCTCCTTGCAAATATTCTCAACCTTTGGAACTCCAGCAAAAAAACAAAAACAAAACAACAACAACAAAAAACCCACCTGGTTTCAGCACCTCTTGTCCTGCTTCTTCTGCTAATTAGATTTCTCTCCTGCATCCACTTCCCTTAAGCTCTTCCTTCCTCCTCACTTGCACCTGGGCTTGCCCTTGGCCGCTGTGGTTATGACCTATTCTTTCTAGCCATACAGAGGCAGTGGGCAGGGACCCAAGAGAAGTCCGGCAGGGACAGACCACCAATGGGGGCTGTGATGGTACAGAAGTGGAAAGGCAGGGTCCTGCTCTACAACCTCTCTCCCTGCCACCCACTTCATCTCCACCCCTGGGCAGAGCCAGCCCCTTTTTGCCCAGTGCACCCTGCCGGCCTCCTCTTTAGGCTTCCGCCCTGATGCCCTCACAGCCGAGGTTTCTGGAGTCTGCTGCCAAGCAGACCAGAGGTTCTGTTCTGCCAACTGCTTCTGAAGTCTGACTCTCCCATCCTGCAGCAGCGGTCTGAACCTGACCTTCATTCCCACAGACCCTGCCTGGGCCCCCGCCACGCAGCAGAACTAGGTGTCTGCTCTTTGTCCAGATGGTGCCTGCTGCAGGGAGGGGATAGGACAGGGGTTATGCTTGCCTAAGGGACTCTATATGCCTCTCTATAGCCCAACGAATCTCTGTCTCAAGCCAAATGCAGTTGAAGAGTGGAGAAAACCACTTCTCAGATTTCTTTTGGTGCCTCGGCCTGCACCCCTAACACACACACACACACACACACACACACACACACACACACACACACACACACACACACACATGCATCTCTCCTAGGAGCTGTATCCTCTCCCTGTTCCTGCTATTCCCACCCTCCCTACATAGCCCAGCCCTCCCATCTCCAACGAAAGCACAGAACAATCTACAATCTAGGGTTTCAACAGTCTCCAAAAGCCTTAGGGGAACAGAGGCAGCTTGAAGTTGGAAGAGTGGAGAGGCTACTTCTTGTGAAAACTAGAGTGTTTTGGCCGCACTAAGGGCTTCTTGCTGAAGGAGCATTGGCTGCCTGGGGACCGGGTGCCCACGGTACAGTCCCCACTCATCCTAGGATCCTTCTAGATGTCACCGGGTCTTCTTTCCCTCTTCCTGGTGGAAGTCTTGTCAAGTTGCGCATTGGAGAGATGGTAGAGGGGCAGGGTCCTACGGTCCTTTAGCAGGATTTGGTAATCCCTTACGAGGTCCTGGCTCAGGGGTGCGCTGGGCAGCAAGGCCAGCTTCAGCACCTTCTCCTGGTAATGAGGCAGAGAGTTGGGGCAGGGCCAGCCCCAGGTGAGAGGATTAGGCAGTGGGTTGGGCATGAGCTGCAGGCCCTGTGGTTCAAATCTTCCACCAGAAGAGATGTGCTTGTACCTGTTTGGGGGAGTGGGAGGGGCATGGAGAGAACAAGGAGATCAAAGCAGAGAATTGGGACTCAGGCATGGTGGGGGAGGGGGAGATGGGGCAGGCCTGTGTCCCCCCTCTCGCTCCTGGAGCCTGTGCTTTGACACTGGGATGGTGAGATGGATGTTAACTAGCTGACCTTCCAGCCTATTGATAAATCATTACTTATTGTGCGTGTTTTAACTATGCCTCGAGCCCAACCTTCTCCACTTCCATAGCACAGCAGGGAGAACCACCAAGCTGAGGGTTGGTGGCCAACTTTCTTTATTTAAGGTTTTGACGATATTTAATTTTTTAAAATAATCTTTACATAGTTGATTAGGGCACAGAGGGTCAAGGGTTACAGGAAAGTGGGTTCCTTTTCCACAGTGGCCAACTTTCTCTGCTCGGTGCGCCTGTAGCACTGCTCGGAACAGTAGAAAACGGAGTGGATAAGCCAGAGCACAGTCAGGAGGGCAGGCCTCTACAGTTCACCCCACCCAGCACCCAGCTCGGCCCATTTGCTGCTGTTGGTTTCTCTGAAGGTTTTTGGGCGTGACTGTGCAATATTTCACCCTGGGGATCTTCTAAAGGTTCCACGCCCAGGCTGCTCCCAGGTCCTTCAAATTGGCATTTTCCAGGTAAGCCTCCGTCCTCAGCCCGTGATTCTAATGGGCTGCTGGGGTTCTATGTGCACGCTCTGTTTACCCAAAGTCACAGCATCCTCGCACTTCTGGCTCATCTGGATGCTGTGGGATTGCAGTGCTCCAGATTGGCTCATTGACTGATGCAGAGTCATCTTGCATCGGTCAGGACTTGTTATGGTATGGAAGTTAGTGTGGGTGTCCCCCAAGGACTTGGTCCCCAAAATTGCCTGAGCTTGGAGTGAGACCCTCCAAAACTATGAGCTGAGAAAAACCTCCTTCCTTCCTAAGCAGCCTATGTCCGGTATTTATTTACAGCCTCCAAACAGTGGCCCTCATGGCCGGTTCCTCTTATCACCTGTGCACCTCCTTCGAGGTCCAATTCAAACACTACACGGGCTTCTCTGTGAACAATCAAACCTGGTCTATATATAGTCCCGTGGTCCTAGCTCCAGGGGCTATATAAACAGATGAAACAAGGGTCCTGGTGTCACAGAGAGATCCCCTGCTGAGCCCCTCCTGTATGCAAAGCATGGAGCCATTCCTCCCTCCTAATCCCTTAAAGGATACCGGGCTTCACCCAAGGGAAGCTACAAGACTTCCGGAAAGTTAAGGCAAGTCTGTGATGGGGATTCGGGGGAGACTATGTGAACTCAAATGGGCTATTCTGGACCCCTCTGCCCCATCTGTGATGTGGGGTTTTAATAATAGCTTCTGTCCAGGCACTCCTGGGGTATTAGGTCACGCAGCTGAAGTAATTAGAGTAACATCTGGCTCTGTTGTTGGACCACGAATCTTGCTGAGACCTGCTGTAAGCCTCGCCCCCAGGTGCACACCCAGGCTAACACACATGAGCTATCAGCCACCTCTATGGCCAGGTCAGCCCACCCCAGCCTCACTCCCTCCTACCAAAGTTCTCTACCGCCTCCCTTCTCCAATTCCCCAGTGTGTGGGGCAATGCCCTTGGGATCAAAGTTGGAGACCTTCTATCTTTATCCACCCCCACTCCTCATGCCCAAGTGCCTAGACCGGCCACAGTTTGGAAACATCTGTGAGTTCCCATGACCACGGCAGGGAGCCAAGGAGCAGCCGAGTTCTCACACTCTTGTCCCAGCTCCGACCCCTCCTAGCCCTGCAACAGAGAAGGACCCCTTAGAACACACACAAGGCTTCCTGCCCTCCTGGCTCTGGCTGCCTTCCTCATGGAGCCTTCCTGGGGTGTTCGTCCTCTCATGAGCTTCTATAATGACACTTCCTTTCCATTCTGTCCATTTCCTTGCTCCGTAATTCATGCAGTCCTCCCCGAGGGAGATACCTTTGTTGGTGATGGAATTGAGAAATGAAGCAAATGGCCGAAGTGATGCCTTCTGGCCTCTCCCTAAGCCTCAGACGCCAGCCCTTCGGTAATGGACTTCCTGGTAACAGCACCAGGGCCTGGTGGTGACAGTCCCTTTATATTGGATCCCCAGGGCCCAGCAGGTGTGCCAAGTGCACAGTGGCACTCCCTCAACCCTGCCCAATTGTCAGGAAATCATTGCGTGCCTCCCTGGACTGTCCTCCTGCCTGCCCCGGACCTCCGAGGCATGTTCAGGAAGGAGTTTGGTTTTCAGATGACCAGAGTGGGAGAAGGTGAGAGTACCCAGTTAGACAGCTGAAGCAGAAGGAATGAGAGAGGGTGGGGGGAGGGGTCACCTGAACCCAGCTGAGTCGGTGAGCTCCTTGGGGAAGGGGATTCATCTTACTTTTTGAAGCTTGCAGGGGGCAAGATGTTGCCATGGACATCGAGTGGGGGCGCCCTTGCCTCACTCCGCAGCCTGAGTTTCTCGGCTTCCTGTAACTCCTTCATTGTCATGAAGATCACCTTGTGCTTCCGGTTTGCATCCAGGAAGATGGGGGTGTAGCCGATAAAGCTCAGGAAACTGTTGGGTCCCAGCCAGGAGGGAGGGGGGATGGGAAGCCCCGCTGAGGGATGGCGGTAGGCATCAGAGTGGGTCAGCCAGCGCCACACGTTGCTTGTGTAGGGCTGGTTGGGCTGTGAGGGGAAGGTGGCAGGCAAACGCCCCACATCCAGCCAGGTGTGGAAGCCCCAGGTGTGCTGGCTCCTGTCCTTCCAGGGGTGGAGGAGCCGGTGACGCACCTGGGACTTGATCCCCGTGCAGGGGGGCGGCTTGTGGACCAGCTTGTGGTAGGCTTGCCGCTTGAAGCCGGGCAACTCCCAGGATTCTTTGGGGAGGAAGAACTCACGCTCGGTCCATGTCCGGGAAGTCGGGAGGGACTCCTGGGCATGGATCATCTATAGGGAGATACAGAAAGGGGGCCTGGGGATAGCTGTGCAGGCCTGGGCTCTGGGTGGGGGAAGGCACACCCTACTCTGCATCCCAGTATGTTCTTCCCATGGGCCTGTCAGACCCCTGGGCCAGGCAGGGAACCACACTCTGCTCCCACACTCTTCTCTGTGTCATTCTCGTAGACTTCTCTGCCCATGGATCACATTTTTACTTCGAGTTCCCATCCTACTCAACTTTCACTCTCTTTGTAAAAAAATTTTCATTTTACTTGAAAGGTAGAGAGATAGTTCTTCCACCTACTGGTTTACCTTCCACATGCTCACAACAGCCAGGGCTGTTAGGTCAGTCTTTAATAGCAAGGGACTCAGACTCAACCCGTTTCTCCCACATGGGTGGTAGGGACCCAAGCGCTTTAACCATCTCTTGCTACCTCTTAGGGTGCACATCAGCAGGAAGGTAGGTCAGAAGTGGAGCTGGGATTTGAACTAGGCACTCCCAAAAGAGCTGTGGATAGTCCTAAGTGGCAGCTTAAATGCTATACGAATGCCCACACTTAACTTTCATTCTATCTTCACCGCTTTCTCCATTGTGGCACCCTATGTTCCTGCCTGGGTGCACCTAAGAGGGCACCTTGGGCCTGAGCCAATCATGAAGGAAAGTGTTCCAGGCTCGGACAAGGGAGGAGTCCATCTCCCCTCTTGGTCCAGACCCCACATCCTGACTCTTCATCTTCCTCAGTTTGCTGTCACTGGTCACTCCCCTCACTCCTCATTAAGGCCCAAGCCAGTGTAGACAGCTTCTAGAATGTTTGTCCTTCCCTTTCGTGCATTCTGCATCCTGTGAAACTGTAGTGGAAACATGTGGACACGGTGCTGGAGCTAGGTGCTACCACACATCTCATGTAATCCTGGGGCAAGTACTGTTCTTGTTTCCATCCCAGATGCAGAGAGCAAGAATTGAAGAGGGTAACGTGTGCCAGCAGCCAGCTGAGGGATGGAGCCGGACGGAGCTGTGTGTCCACACTCATTCTAAGCACGTCCAGACCGTGGGAAATGGCCTCACATGGCACAGTGCCTATCCCACGTGATCAGAGTCTCTTTTAGCAAACTTCACCATCCTACCTACCCCCTCAGACTTCTCTGGTTCCCAAGCCAAGGTTTCTTGGGCATGACCTACTCAGTCATTAAATACCCCCGATCAGAAAAATCACAAATCTGAGAACGCTCCAAAATTTGGAATTTTCTGAGCACCAACAAGACACCACCAGAGAGAAAGTCCTCGGTTGATGCCCAATGACAGGTTTTAGTCAAAACACAGGTGCACAAAAAATTTATATAAAACAAGTGCCTAAGGTGCCTCATTGAAACACAAATGAGTTTTAGATTTGGTCCTATCCCCTTATGAAAATGCAAATATTTCAAAAATCCCCAAACAGCTGAAATCTGAAACGCTTCCAGTAAGGCACTTAGGAAAGGGGTACTCACCCTGTACCAAGCACACATCTTTCTATTCTGAGCTTCAGGTTTATAGTAACAATAGGACTAAGAGGGGAGACTATAGAGCAGTGGTCCACCACAGGACAGCTTCTAGCCCAGAGGGGTACAGAATGACAGGCTGTAGGGGCACCTATTTGGCCTGGAGTTTAAGGCACAGCTGGGACACCCACCTCTCATGTCAGAGTCCCTGGGTTCAAGTCCCAGCTGCACTTTTGCTTCCAGCTTCCTGCTAAGGCACAGCGGGGGAAGCAGTAGATGATGGCTCAGCTGCTTGGGTGCCTGCCATCCACATCCAGATTGGGTGTTTAGGCCCCTTGCCTCAGACTAGCCTGGTCCTGGCTGTTGTAGGCCTTTGGAAGAATGACCCAGCATGTGGAAGATGTCCCTCTGCCTCTTAAATATTTCTCAACAGGGCAGGCTGCAGATGGTCCCGCTGCCTACCCGCAGGAAAGGTTCTCTGACTCGAGATGGGTAGCTTGGCCCTCTGAGCGATCTCTGTGGGTTGCTGGCCATTTTTCTTCTGGGCCTCCCAGCTAGGAGGGTAGCTTTGTGGGAAGGCCTTTCTGGTGTCATTGTTTGCTGCTGGTGTTGCTACGGTGATGCCTGCTGTGTGGTGATGCAGGGTGGAGGCCCTCACCTGCCTGCCCAAGGCTCAGCAGTGCTTGGGACCATTGGCTGTCAGGGTGACACAGGCAGGAGATGAGACCTGCGCACATTCTGACTGTAGAAGATGCTGGAAAGAGCTGCTTCTGCAGACAGAGCTGCTTTGGGGACCAGGCATGTCTTTCCCTCTCAGGTTCTGGGGGGCTGCTTCTTGTGTTTTCTCCAGGGAGGCCCTCAGTCAGTCTGAACCAGCAGGTCCAGAACCGGGTCTGAGGCCACTTGTGCAGAACCGGTGCCCAGAAAATGGGCACTCACTGTGGCACCCACGTGGGGAAGGATTCCTGCTGAGCTCAGCTGTTGCCTGTAACCATGGTCTCCACCACTCAGCCACCCCTTTGTCTCAGTCCTCTGCACCCACAGACCACACAGACCACCATTTGCAGCCTGGTGTTTTATTGAGTAGGTGGTTACAGTAGTGTTCTTGAGCTGGCTTGCTTCCACACAGTCAGCTGTGGCCTAGCGTGGCTCTTTGCAAAGCTGGGGTGCAAGTTAAGGAAGCCAGGCACACCAGGGGTCTCCTCAAGCCTCTTCCGGGGTTCTGGTCAATGTTTATCTCCCTGGCATGATTAGGGACTTTATCTGAGAAACATTTGGGGGCTCTCCTAAGAGGGTACCCACCCTCTCTGCCTCAGATGCTTCCATTCTTCCATTCCAAATTCAACACCAAAGATGATTTCAACTAGGATTGCTTCCTGTGGGGAAGCTGACTTGGCAACATGGAGAGGTGGAAGGGAGGTGCTGCCAGAGGGCCCCTAGCAAGGCATGGCTGCTTGTCTGGGTGCTGAAGGTGAGGAAACCCCGAGTCAGGGACCCTGGGCCTGGACATAACCGTGCACTGCACATATTCCCTTCTTTAGGAATTTAAAGCATGGAATGGAAGCCAGCTGAAATCCCTTGCCTTCCAACAACCTCCTTCTGGTGGTCTCTAGATAATGGCCTAAGAAAATGAGCTCACGTTTGTAATTAGAGGATGACTTGGAGAATGGATACTACATACAAGGCCAGACAGCCAGCAAGTCGCAGAGGGGCTGCTGGATTTAGAATGGGAATGGCCTGCAGAGTCCCTGATCTCCTCTCTACCCTTCTGCGCCTGGCAGAGAGCAGTCAGATGCTCTCGGGGGAACGACACAAGGACCAGTTCCTATGGCTCGACTGCTTGCTAAGGTCCCAGCAGCGGCTAAGGTGTGACTACTGCCGTGCTCCTCATTTGCTGGCTTGCTCAGAGGCCTTGTGGCAGGATGTGTGGGAGAGGACACCGAGCTCTGGGTCTCCTGCCCATGCTGGTGCCTAGCATGGCAGGCAGCTTGAGGGGCAAGGGCACAGCCAGCTCTCTATCGCAGCTCAGGAAGAAACTGGGACCAGTTGATGTTGTCAGGGCCCAGTGGGTCCTCCTCCAGGCCTGGGAAGCTGATGTCCAGCAGGATCTTGCTGAGGCTGTCATTCATTGTGTCCAGGACCAGGCCTTCTGTAAGAGACCGATTGGCCGAAAGGTTGGTGACCTGTTGCTCAGGGGAGCCAGGCTTAGGGACTTCCAGTTCGGAGTGGGTAGAGTGGCCGAAGGGGTCAGTGGTGAGGTCAAAGGGCTCTGAGTTGAGGAGCTCTCGGGGTGAGTCAAAGAGGGGAACGCTTTTCAGCGGTGTGGAGTTAAGTTCCATCAGCCCCAGGGAGTCCGGCAGGGGACAGAAGGCGCCCTGCGGGGTTCGGACGGGGCTGAAATCCAGTTCCCCCACTCTAGCTGGGGGGGTGAGCTTCCAGGACTCAGGGGTTCTGGGGAGGACAGATTTGCTTGGCGTGGAGGAGATGGGCAGCGCCTCCTTGACAGGGGTCTTGAAAGGTCCTGCCTCTTCCTGAAAGGAGCCGAGCTGGGCGGAGGGCTCCGAGGACTCGGCCAAGAAAGGGAGCTCGGTGGCAGCGACTCGCCGCCAGGGGCTGGGGCCCTCGGAGAGCAGCTCAGACTCAGCAACGCCAGTGGTGGCAGCAGCGGTGGAGGGAGGCAGCAGGTGCTGTTTCCGGCGGGACCGGCTCATCTGCCTGCGCTCCCTGCGTTTGATGACCAGCATTTCAGAGACACTCCGTGCTGGGGACTGCAGCTCACTGTATTCCTTCTTGGGCCTCGGTGTGGGGGAGTAAGGGGAGTAAGACGAGTCCTCCCAAGAGTGAGTCGATTCCTCTTTGACAGATGGCGACGAGGAGGGCCATTCTTCCAAGGGTGGGCTCTCCACTTTGATGGGTCTCGCCAAGTGAAATGTGTCCTCCCCTGGCTGGATCTCCTCCTCCTTGATGGACTGGACTGGGAGCAAAGGAGACGACCCTTCCCCGAGCAGGACTTGCTCCTCTTTCACAGGGCCTGACACGGCCAGAGGGGCCACTTCCTCCTCAGTGAGCAGCACCTGCAAGGAAAACAGACAAAAGGGAGCTCTTGCGGACCAAGCCCCCATCCCTGGGCAGGACACAAAAGCATGACCGTAATGGGTGAGGCATTAGTGCCTGGCCTCTTGTTATAAAGTCTTACAAACTATTAAACATGGGGAGAACCTACAGGGGTCAAAGAAGAAAAGAATTTACTATGATACTGGTATAACTGGTATCTATTGAGAGAAAAAGAATATTGGGTGCTTCTCTTATATACAAGAAGTAAGCATAACAGGAAAACCTTTTAAAGCCATACAAATCCTGAAAGAGAATCTAGGAGGCTACATGTACAATCTGAGGTGGGGAAGGGGCCTTCACAACCAAGCCTGGAAACCCAGAAGCTGTAAAAGAGAAGAGAGACACATTGAAAACTTCACAGTGGCAGGTGATACTGCAAACCAAAGTTAAGCAACAAACTTTTGAAGCAGAAAAAAAAATTGTCTCCATAAAAGACAGGTTAATATCTTTACAGCACGAAATGCTTCCGATTTATTAACAAAACCCTACTGAAGAACACACAGTATCCACAGACATGTAACTCCAAGGATCACTCCCAGGGACCAGGCCACTCAGGAGACAGCCCTTGAACTTACTGAGAAACCATCCAAAAAGATAGGAATGAGACAAGAAGATGTCACGTATACATATCACCTGGGCAAACACGAGAGTCTCATCCACACCCAATTATTGGCAAAGAGGTAAACCCTGCATATACTGCTGGCGGGATGGGGAATCACCACAGCTTTCGTGGAAGGCAATCTAGCAGTCCTTGGCAAAATTTCGAATACCTTTTCAATCCGCAAATACAGTCATGGGACTCCATCCCACAGACATAACAGCACCATAATAAAGAAACTCAGAGCTTGGCATGATGTTTTAGTGGCTAAATCCTCGCCTTGCAAGCGTTGGGATCCTATAAGGGTGCCAGTTTGTGTTCCAGTTTGTGGTCCCCTTCTAGTTCCCTGCAATATCCTGGGAGGGCAGTGGAGGATTGTCCAAAGCCTTGGGATCCTGCACGTATGTTGGGGACCTGGAGGAGGCTTCTAGATGTTAACCAGCTTGGTTCTGGCCTTTGTTGCCATTTGGAGAGTAAGCTGGCGGATCTTTCTTCCTCTCTGTAAATCTGCCTTTCCAATTAAAAAAAAATCTTAAAAATTGAAATCTAAGCACTGCTTTTAAAAAAAAAAAAATGAAAGGAACTCACAAACATCTTCACTGCGCTGTGGTTCACAGGGCAAAGAACTAGAAACAAACTGCGCCCCAGAAGTAGTGTGGCTAAAAGCTGTGAGACTCTGGCCATCCTGTAAAGCTAGCTTGTGAGGCCAGCATCTCATGTGGTTGCCACTTCATGCTGCTCTGCTTCCGATTCAACTCCCTGCTAACAGTCTAGGAAAAGCAGTGGATGATGGCCCAAGTGTATGGGCACCTACTGTGCATGTAGAAGACCAGGAGGAAGTTCCTGGCTTCTGTCTGGTTCACATCGGACAGTGGGGTCATCTGAGGAATGAACCAGTGGATGGAAGATCTTTCTCTCCTTCTCGCTCTGTAACTCTGACTTTCAGTGGCCTAGTGCCTAAAGTCCTTGCCTTGAAACCACCAGGATCCCATATGGGCACCAGTTCTAATCCCAGCAGCTCTACTTCCCATCCAGCTCCCTGCTTGTGGCCTGGGAAAGCAGTCGAGAACAGCCCAAAGGCTTGGGACTCTGCACCCTGTGTGGGAGACCAACAGAAAGAAGTTCCTGGCTGCTGGCTTCAGATCGGCGCAGCACTGGCCGTTGCAGTCACTTGGGGAGAGAATCATTGGACAGAAGATCTTCCTGTCTCTCCTCCTCTCTGTATATCTGTCTTTGCAATAAAAATAATTTAAAAAAATGTAAATTTTCCAGGAATTTTTGAACCCTTATTATACATAAACACACATGAAATCTTATTTATATGTAAGCTTCCAAGCACCTGCAACAGCTGGATCAGGCTGAAACCAAGAATCCAGAACTCTATTCAGGGCTGACCGAGATGCAAGTATTTGAGCCATCATCCACCGCTTCCCAGGGCACATCTTACCAGGAAGCTGGACTGGGAGTAGATAGCTGGGACTAAAACCAGGCACTCCGTATGGGTCGAAGTCATCCCAAGAGGCAGTTTAACCTGTGCCACATGCCTGCCCCTAAAAATGCTATCTAAATCAGAAAAATTAAAGCAAACTCAAATCCTTTGAAATGTCAGTCTAAGGTATTTCCACCGCACGGAAGGGAGTGTGGCATTTCCTCTCACACAACTGCCCTATGGTGTTAAGACAGGACAGGACTCGACGGCATGGTCCTATCTTCCCAAGATAGACCCATGGTGTGCAACGGGGGTGGTTTCCTTCCCAGTGGACACTGAGCAATGTCCAGGAGTGTGACTGGCTTGTAGTGGGCAAGACAACAGACCCACAACACCCCTACGATCCTATGAGGAATTCAGCCCCGAGTGTCAGGAAGCTTGAGGCTGAGAAATGCTAAGACTGGACTCACTCTGCCACTCCCCAGTACAACCCAGCACCTGCTGCCTCCAGGACACAGCCTGTTAAGATGCTTTCCCTATACCTGTCTATTTTCCTCGATTTACTTTTTCCTAAAATCTGCCTCCTCGCAAATTCTTCTTCAATCATCACAATCATCTCCGTCTGAATTTCTATAAACTCATCAAGTATTCATGGGCCTTCTGACAGCACTCACGTTGTAAATCCAAACCGCTTTCTAGCTCTCACGTGCCACTGCATTTTCCTGTGTTTTTATGCTTGGATGTCCAGCTAGATTTATAAGTTTGTAAGGATCACTTAGCACAGAGTTCAGCAGGCTGTAGGTCCAGCACTTTGAATTGATCCGAGCCTCTCCCCAGACACAGAAGACGCTCACCTTGGGGGCAATGCGCACCCGCTTGCTGTGGCGGGCAAGCTCCGAGCTCATGAGCGAAGCTGCCAGGGGCAGTGGCACCTTCACGGAGGGCTGCAGCACCAGCGACTGGTTCACTGGGAACTGGATGGGCACCAGGTAGGAGCTGACACGTGGGAGCAGGGGTTTCATCTTCCGCCCTAGGAGGAAAGTGGGGGTTAAGAGCAAGGGGACAGGGAATCCACTCTTTCTCTGTCCCAGCAGCTTCACTCTCCTTCCCTGGGGCTCAGATCCCTTGCAGCTGGGAGCAGAACCCTGGAGTCTGACTCACTACAGATATGCCCCCAGAACAAGGCCCAGGCCTGGGGCCCACTCTCCCATACTAACGTGTGCCCAGTGGGAGTTCAGATTTCATGGTCACGTTCCGGCGGAGCTCAGGATTGGGCCGTTTCTGCTGCTGCTTGTGGCGGGCAGAGAAAGAAAGGAAACCAGGGTTAATAGGGGAAGGCGGTGGGGTACAGGGGGAGCAGACCCTGCCAGCTTGAGCTGGTACACTTGAGCTAATCAACTGCCCAGGAAGAATAAGCCAAGTTGAGGGCATGGATGCAGGTGGGCACAATCTCCAAAGCCCGGGTGAACAGACAGGTGGACAGTGTTTGACGGCAGCCCAGTGCTGCCACCTCCCTGAGATGTCCTCATCACCCTAGGGAATGCCCGGCATATACTTGTGGGGGTGGCAGAGAAAAGACAGGTGAGGGGGGAGAGTGCGAAGAGAACTGCTGGCTGCCTGGGAGCTCTGTGCCATGCACTTGTTCACTGCTGTGGCGTGTGCTCCCGCTGTGCCCTGCTCTGCACAGTACACCTGTGTGATGCCCGTGGAAGGTGCCAGCGGCCTGGTGTCTCACTCCCAGGAGCCCAGGGGGCTCTGAGGCCAAGCTACTTTCCCCTCCTGCCTGCCACACATCTCTCTGTTCACAAAAGCCATGCTGAGCAGGGTGCAAGGAAAACAAGACAAAGCCCCGACTAAGCCGGAGGGAAAGAATCTTACTGATTCCAAGTGCTCGGGCGATTGTGGAGACCCTGGGTCCAGTGGCTGCTGGCGGCCAGGCATTGTGGGAGAGAAATGACATGAAGTTACCACCAACCCGGTGGGGAAGAACAACCTGCTCCTGGTCGACGCCAAGAGATATCTGGACAAGTGGCCCTCTAAGAGAGCAACTGCAGCTACAGCAGCCTAAAGCATGCCCTGAAATCCCATGGTCAGAAGCTCCTCAGGGGCCCAGTGTGATAGCGTAGCAGTTAAAGTCCTTGCCTTGAATGTGCCAGGATCCCATATGGGTGTCGATTCTAATCCCGGCGGCTCCACTTCCCATCCAGCTCCCTGCTTGTGGCCTGGGAAGGCAGTCAAGGATGGCCCAAAGCCTTGGGACCCTGCACCTACGTGGGAGACCTAGAAGCAGCTCCTAGCTCTTGGCTTCAGATTGGCTCAGCTTTGGCCATTGTGGCCGCTTGGGGAGTGAACAATCGGACAGAAGATCTTCCTCTCTGTCTCATCTCTCCTCCTCTCTATATATCTGCCTTCCCAATAAAAATAAAGAAATCTTAAAAAAAAAAAAAAAAAAAAAAAAAGGCAGCAGCAGCTCCTCTGGTGTCTCAGCTACTGGCACCTAGCCTAAAGTTCTCCAAGTTTCTCAGGCCTTCTCTGCACCCTTCACCTGAGATGCTTGTTAAAAACGTTATTCCAGGCCTGCTGAACTGTGAGTGAGGGGCCTGGGGAGCTGAAATATAACAAGTGTCCTGGGCAATTTTTATTTGCAGGAAAGCAGGGAAACGCAGTCTCAGGCAAGTCTATTTTGGGTCACAACAGTCCTCTCTGTGCCCTGGTCTAGCTGTGCCACTGAGTACTGTCAACGGTACCTAATTTATGCCAGTCACTGCCTGGCTGTCCTCAATTCTCCTGTCATCACATGGAAGCATCTCAGAGACCTTGTGTCCTTTCGAGACGGCCACGACAACCTTGGACTCTGGCCCTGTTTAGACGACAGCAGGACATTCACCTTGAACACCTGGTCCAACGTCAAGTAGCGATTGGCACTGGGGTGAATGGTCCAAAAGGAGACCCTGCCATTGGCAGACGTCTCCCGAACGAACATGTCGTGGAGGGAGAGGTTGTGGCGGATGGAGTTCTGGAAAGAGAAAGAAGGTTATTAGCTTCTTTGGCTTTAGATCAACAGCAGGAGACAAGAGGGGACTCAGGCCTCCCACCCACTGTGCCTCTTTCCAGATCCCCTGGAACCCTGCCCACTGGCGACTCTGCCTGGGACTGCCATCAACCTCGCCCACAGAGCTGTGTGTTCCACGGGGACAAAGACTGGTGCCATTGCATTGGGTTGGTGATGATGAAATCCTGGAGAGCCATGAAATGATTTAGGGTGAGGCAGGACAGGGCCACAGAGTAAGAAACTAAGAAATTAAGAGAAGATGAGAGTGAGATATTAGGAGTTCTCCCGTGGGGCTGGGTGCTTGGCCTAGTGATTAAGCCATGACGTCAGCTGCTGGAAAGCCTGGGTATGAGGCCTGGCATTGGCTGCCAGTTCCCACGATGGACTAAGTTCCTGCCTAAGGCCTCAGCTTGAAGATGCTGTTGGCAGTTGAGCAGTGAACTGATCAGTGAGAGCTTGGTATACGCTTTTGTATGTCGGATGATGTTGATCTGTTTTATAAAGAGTTATGCTGTGAGGAAAACAAAATACTGAGTCCCTATCAGAAGACTTGATGTGTAGTTCTTACAGGGACCCAGGGCTGGAGTCATACTGACTTGTAGAAACGATACATGACATTGCAGGCCCTGAGTCTCAGGTCATGAAGCTTACAGACGGAGTTCTTTATGCTTGTTTTTTTCCCCTTATGATCTTTCCTTAAAACTTTTCAGCCACTCTAGTTGCTGGTACCTATGATTTTTGTTCAGTGTAACACACAGGTGGGCTTGGTGCTACACTAAAGACTGGACATAAACCTCTGGGAGTCACAGACCAAGTGGTTACTACAAAAAATAAATAAATAAATAAATAAAATTTGTCTAGATTTGGCAGGATGGAGTCACAGTTCAGGTGTCCTGGTTTATAGGTCTAGCACCCTCTGCACGGAACTGCTGCCCCACAGCACCAGGGATAAAGTGTTGGGCTGGAGGAACCTCCACTTTGCCTGCTACGATTACCTTCCAGCCTGGCTTGGCAATGTGCTTAAAATAGGGGAAGTGGTCCTCAATCCAAGTGTAGATGTCTTTCAAGGTCATGCGCTTCCTCTCGGTGCTGTTGATGGCGAACTGGATCATGGCCATGTAAGAGTAGGGTGGCCTTTCAGACATAGAGTCCTGCCAGGATGTTGATGCTCCAGAGGGTTCCTCAACCTGAGGGTTTAGGAGAAGCCAAAGAGAAACAGAAAAACGACATGGAAGAGTCACAGGTCCACTACTAGGGTTGGTGTTGTGACACAGTGGGTAAAGTTCCCACTCTGACAACACCATCCCATATCGAAGTACTGGTTTGAGTTCGAGCTGCCTCACTTCAGCTCCAGCTCCCTGCTAATGTGCTGGGGCCCCTGTGTCCATGTGGGAGCTGGGCACAAGCTCCTGCTCCTGGCTGCAGTGTGACTCAGGCCTGGCCATCGTGGCTGTTTGGGGAGGCAACCAGTTGATGGAAGATCTCAGTCTCACCCTCTCTCTATCTGTAACTCTATCTTTCAAATAAATAAAATAGATCTTTAATAAATGAATATTTTTCTTATTGGAAAAATTATCTTTTTGTTGTTGTTGCTGACAGAGAAGCTTTATTTGTGAAGTGACCAGGTGAATGTGGAAAAATGAGAGGAAGGAGAAAGCACCTCCCAAGACAGAGCGGGAGGTGGGGTGCCTCTTGAAAGGAGAGAGGGAGGGACACCAACAAATGAATCTTAAAAGAGAGAACCACTAGCACACTCCATGAAAAACCTTCCCTAGAGAAATGTTCCTTACTACTGTTAATAAGTTTATTTATTTTTATTTGAAAGGCATATTTACAAAGAGAAGGAGAGACAGAGCAAGATCTTCCACGTACTGCTTCAACCCCTACATGATTACAATAGCCACAGCTGGTTGATCTGAAGCCAGGAACCAGGAACTTCTGGGTCTCTCACATGGGTGCAGGGGCCCAAAGACTTGGTCTGGTCTATCTTTTTGCTGGTTTCCCAGGCACATTAGCACGGAGCTAGATTGGAAGTGGGGCAGCTAGGACTTGAACCCGTGTCCATATGTGATGCTGGCCAGCACACGACACTGGCTCTGGAACTGTTTACTAGAAGCAAACTCATTCAAGACTATTATTTAATTGAGTTAAATTTTAGGATTGGGGAGGATCTTAGGATAACCTGGTCCAGACCCTGGCTAATAGAGAACCAGACTGCCTTCACTCATTTTGCTAAAGATATTGACCAGTAAAAAGTCAGTTCCTTTTATTTCTTTTTTAAAAAGATCTATTCATTTGAAAGCCTGAGTTACAGAGAGAGAGATCTTCCATTTGCTGGTTCACTCCCCATATGGTTAAAACAGCCAGGGCTGAATCAGACTTAAGCCAGGAGCCTGGAGCTTCTTCCAGGTCTACCAAGAGGGTATCAGGAGAGCAAGCACATGGGCCATGTCTCCCTGCTATCCCAGGGCATTAGCAGGGAGCTGGATCAGGGAGTGGAATGGTTAGGACAAGAGGGTTGTATGTACGCTGTGAAACTCAAACACTGATTTTGTACTACAACCACACTCTTCAGATGTGTGGGTCAAAGACCTAGGTCTTATTCTTGATGTATTGTGAGTAAATTAAAGTATATACGCAATATATCCTATATGTATGATATTGGCAAATGTGAAAAATCAAACAAATCTAGACTACACAATTAAGTCAGATGAACTTTGGTTCCTGGTGAAGTATTTAAAATTCACATCTAATTCCCTTTATTTGCTATTAATAGTATATTTTTGAACTAAAAAAAATCACAGTGCCTTTTTTTTTTAAATCAGAGAGAGTGAGTCTGAATCCTGGCTCTGCTAAGCTTTGGGTTAATGTGTACCCTGGCGGGTAGCAGGTCAAGGCTGAAGTACTTGGGTCTCTGCCATGTGGGAGAACGGGACGAAATTCTCGGCTCTTGATTTGGCCTGGTGGTCTATTGAGGGCAAATGGGGAGTGAACTAGCAGATGGTAAGTTCTCTTCCCCCAACATACAAATAAAAAACGATCTTTCTACAGCTGCTCCCGTCAGCTCATCCAGCTGGGATGCCTCTTTAGAGTCAAGTAGGTTGCCAAAGTAACGCCTCTTAGCCAGCTCCAGGACACCTGTGAACTACCTGCTATGGTGGAACACTTAACCCAGTGCTGCAGGGAATCCAGCGAATCCAGCAAATATGCTCTCAAGGAAATCTCCCAGATAATGGAGAAAATAGCTCTAGGGGAGTGTTAACAGCAGGACACGGGAACTTTCCTTCAGCAAGTCTCCATCCCATCCATTTTCCCGAGAAATTCCCTGTCTTGGCGCTGACTTCCCTGGTGAGTGGCGGCAAGGCTCACCTTGACCTGGTTCTGTTCCAGGTGGCAGTTCTCCTTCTCCTCCACCTCCTGCTTGACGCTGCAGGAGCCAAGGCCGTCGGAGCTCATCTTTCCAAGCCACTGGATATTGGTTAAGCTGTTGTTGAGAGTGCAGCCTGCCGCCTCTCCACCAGCTAGAGGGAAACAATCCAAGATCCAGGCTTAGCTCTCCTTTAGCTGCTCGGCAGGCCCACCCAAGCAGGAGATTAGGGATTACCACTCCAAAACCCGACAACCCTTAGGGACAGGGAGCACCAGGGAATCTGAGCTGGCTCCCGGATACTCAGCCCCAAGCTGACCTCTTTTCAGGGGTGGAGCCACAGTGCATCTTAGTGGTGGGTCTGGGCCATCTGACAAAAGAGTACTCTGAGCAGCTTCAACAAAAAGTTATTTTTTCCTCTCCTGCTTCTGTTTTTTTTTTTTATTAGGAGGCAAAAAGGTTCCTACTTTCTTACAGGGGTCAATTGAAAGGACTAACAAAAATAACCAATCCTTTTCCAATATAAAGAAAGTACCAGAAACATCACAACTGGAACTCTCTCAATGGGGTGAAAGCTTTGAGGTGAAGACCAGACTTCCCCCCTCCCCCCTGCCGAGTTCAGGGGAGACACCTGTCAGTTGTGGGCACCTGATTTGTTCTCAGGCTCCTCACTCCCGACCTTGCCCTGTGGACCACCTACCACAGCTGTCGGGTCGCTGCCCGCGCAGGGCTCCCAGCGGCCGAGGCAGAGCCACATCCCTGGCTGCAGGCTTTGGCCCCAGGGTCTCGGGAATCACTTGGGTCCTCTTGGAATCCTGACTGGATTGGGCTTGAGGCTGTGAGCCTGGAGGGTGAGCCGGGGTGCTCCCACAGCTGATGAGGATGAATTTGTTGGGTCCGCTGCTCCCACTCTCTTTGCCTTTGGCGGTCAGTGCCGCGATGATGCTCTGGATGTCAGCATTGTTGGGGATGGCCACCACCTGGGTGTTGGCCATGGTGGGGTGGTTGATAATCTTGATCCCAGCTGGGAATTTGCTGGAGCTGGACTCTGCCACATCCTGGGAGGCTTGGGCTGGGCCAGCCGCTTCTTGGGTAGGGGGTCCCTTCGGTTCCTCCTCTGAGGTTTCTCTGGGGGCATTCTGAACAGACAGTGGCGGCCGCCGTCTTTTGAGAATCAGTGGCCGACAGGGGCTGGTTTTCATGATGAATCCAGGCTTTCACTCTCCATCGAGAATCACCAAGTGTGGGCCCTGAAAGGACGAGTAAATAGCAGGATGTCAGGTGGGCTGAGGAGGGCTGAGAGCTCCTCTGGCCAGGGCCAGGGGCAGGACAAAGGCCCAGGGGAATGTTGCCCAGGACCTTTGCACAGACCTCAGACAAGATTAGCACCACTCCAACAGGGAAGGTGGGTCTGGGCTGGTGACAGCCAAAAGTCTCCTCCTTAGAAACAGCAGTTATGTCGGACAGTTAAAAACCATGGAGCTCTCTATGACTGCAGGATACGCGGAGATCACTTGCAGTGACCGCAGGGGGATGAACGCAGGATGCCGAAATAGAAGCAGGTTAAGGCCTATGCTGGGGTCTGTGTGATGGGTGTGGAAGACAGGAAAGTGTGAAGAGTATCGTTCTATTGCAGGCAAGGCTGCAAGGAACTTCCCACTGTGTGGCAAGGCCCGGCGGATGTCTCTACAACACCTGAATGCAGCTCTGCCTCCCTTTGCATGGATACCGGACAACCCCACTGAGAATTCTGTAATCTATTTAGGCATTGTCTGCCTCTGCGGAGTTACTGTTAAATATCAATGGGAGGAGCTTAGAAGCTGATGTTGCTGTTGCGTTTTTTAGCCAAAAAGCTGTTATTGCTGTTCCGGCTGCATCCTGTGGCAATATGCTAATCAAGGGTGCTAACTCCCCTTTTGATCCTATGCTAATCAAGGGTGTTCTGTCTTCAGGTGTAGTGGGAATCTATTCTTTCCCTCTTTCTTTGATCTTTTAGGGCCCTTCCTTCCTTGACTGTCTCAAGACCAAGCTGTAGAGTAATTGTGGTAGGAATGTGTTAGTGATTGATATGCACCATCTATTGAGAACTTTTTCCTAGCCAGGCGCCAGGTGCCAGGCACCAGGTGGTTAACATCCTAGCCTTAGGTGAAACAAATGGCAGAGTTATCTTTAGAAACACCCACTTGACCATGACGTAAAAAGTCTGAGCCAGAGTTTGACTGATTTTGTATAAATAAAGCGGACAGCTTTTGTGCGTGGTCCATTATGATGATGAAATCCTAGTGGTCCGTTTCTTTCTTTGCGCCTCATCCACGCACCCTTCGCGAGTTCCGAACTCAGCTGGAGCTGGACTTCGGCAGGCCTATGGAGTGTAGACCCCATAATCCATTCCAGGACACAGCACGTGTATTTGTACGTCATTATATTTCATAAGCCACAGGCTCATCACCTGGTGGATTAGCTGAGTTAGCACTTAACAAATATCACCCTGCTTGCACGGAGCGCGGGTGAGCAGGTCATCGCCCTCTCCGAGGCCCACAGTACAGGTGTGTAGTTTGCACGCTGGCGGGGTAGGGGGAATGGAGGAGGTGTGTCGGTCCTCTCCCAGGTCACTGTGCTTGTCTCTCCAGCTAAAAAGAAAAAAATCACATTTTCCCCCCAACAATGTACATGACAGTTACATCATGACCAACTCAGTTTTTGTATCTTCTTTTATATACTCTCTCCACATACTATTTTATGACCTCATTTGTCTTACAGGACCCAGACTTGTCACCCCTACATCCCTGGACTGCCGGAACGCGCTATCCTCAACATGCTCAAGTGGTTGCGTAATGCTTGGGAATGAAGTGTTAGCTATGAAATGACACCATTTGTTGATTTTACTAAATGCTTGGACTACTCGACTAAAGTCGTACATGTTTTAATTTCAACACACTCTGAAAAAGAAAAAACCCAGCTCTTCCAGGACACCTTCCAAGCTGCCTAAAATAGGCCTGCCTCTTTTGTGACGTTGCCACGGGCTGAGAACTCGCAGACCTCCCTGCCTGACCATGACTGTTACCCTACGACTACTTACAGCTGTAATTTCACTTGGCCCTCTCCCCCGCGCCTCCCCCTAAACCTCAATGGATGCTCTCTGTCTGTTGCACAGAACACAATTCTTTTCTGTCTTCTGCTTCTTGACAGGTCGCTTCCCCTATGTGCCAGCTTTCCTCTGACCCCGTGCCAATCCTGAGCTGGGAAGCCTTGCCACACCCTCAAGACGTTGCCTAAGGGTGACAGCCCCGGCCAGCATGGGTGCGATCAAGGAAAAGCACCCTCTCCGTGCCAGGCACAGCGGGCGCGAAAAAAAATGAGGTTCCCCCCGCCCAGCCCTCCTGAGGTCGCGCACAGGGTGCAAAGGACAAACTTGCAGGGGAAACCAGGGGGTGCTTTTTGAGCCAGAAGACACAAGACCAAGGCCAGGAGCTAAATAATAATAATAACAAACGCGCACGTAGGCTCAGACCTCCTTCCCGCTCGCGTCCCGCGCGCCCCGCTGCTTGGGGCGCCCTGCCCTCCGCGCCCGAGCCCTGGCTCCCCGCCTCCGCCCCGGCCCCAGCCTGGGACTCCATGGCCGCTCCCCGACCGCTCACCTCCGGACTGCTGCACCGCCGCGGCCGCCGCTGTCGCAGGGCTGTGTGGCTCCTTCAAGCCAGGGCCGGGCCAAGGGCCTCCCCGGACCAGGGACTCGCGCCGGGCCGGCCGGGGTCCCGGCGGAGCGGGCGGGGTGGGAACCCCGGGGGATCCCGGGAAGGGAGGGGGGCTCCCGGGCCGGGGCCGGGACTAGACGGGCTCAGGCACTGGGAGCTTTCAGTTTGTTCCGCTGTTTGAAATTGGCGCCGGCGGAGCGTTGCGCTGACGTTGCGGTCACGTGACGCAGCGCCGCCAATCGGCGCCGGCTTGCCTCGGCGTTCCGTCTAGAACGTCGGCCACCCGGCAGTGGCTGAGGCAGCGGCCGTGAGGTGAAGTGGGGTGAGGTGAAGGAAGCGGCCGGGGCAGGCAGAGGCGGCCGGGGCAGGCAGAGGGGGCCTGAGCGCCTGGCGCCGGCCCTGACGAGGACTAGGTCGGCCGGGGACAGGGGCCCCGGCTTGCGGAGCACGGAGGGACGGCGGCGATCGCCCCCTGGTCTCCCCGGGGACCCTCTCTCCCAACTCTGCAGCGCTAGCGGCGGTGGATTTCCTGGCTGAGCAGAGTTGTTCCCCGCGTCCGTCCAGTGCACGGCCGTCTGCTGGGGCGAGAGCTCTGCGGGGCTGAGCGCGTGTACGCCTCCAGCCCACCGGAGCTGGGCTCCGATCCGGCCGCTCTGCGACCCCCGACCGGCCCGGCTCGCGCACCCCAGCCTCACCTGGAGGGCACCTGGTTCTCCTGCGGCCACCATGGCCGGGGGCTGCGGACACGCGGGAACGCAGGATAACGCCAATTTTCCACGGATCCTTTGAAGTGTCCCCGTTCCTACGATGATGGACAAGGTGGTTTGCTTCTCCCGAGCTTACAGTCTGACGAAGGGGGTTACGGGGAGGGGAGAGGGGAGCGTGGGCGTGTTGATTTCACGAGTTAGATAGATCTAGAATCCAAGCCGTTGTCATCAGGCTTTCCGTTGCAATCGGCAAGGGCCTTCCAGCTGTGAGGCCTGCAGCCTTCTGCACAGAGCACAAGGGCCTTCCAGCTGTGAGGCCTGCAGCCTTCTGCACAGAGCAAAGAGCGGTCTGCGTTTTCGCAAGACCCAGGCAGCAGATGGGGTTAAGGATGCGCCTGTTGTTGGGACGTAAAGAGGGTAGTGAGGAGAGAAAGAGGGCAAAGAAGAGAGAGTGGGGGCAAGGAGGCATTGCTGAAGACATGTTTAGGAGGTCGTATGGGTGAGGTGGGAGGGTGCCAAGTTTCCTGTTTGTGTAACTGGATGACTGATCATGCTGTCCCCCTAAGGGTCCCCTAAACCCCCAAAGATAATCACTTTGGGAGGTGCTGGGGTGGGAGGTGCTGGGGCAATGGGCAGATTTACAGACAGGAGAGGCAGATCTTCTATCTGCTGGTCCACTCCCCAAACGGCCACAATAGCTGGTGCTGAACCGATCTGAAGCCAGGAGCCAGGAGTTCTTCCGAGTCTCCCACGCGGGTGCAGGATCCCAAGGCCACAGGCAGGGAGCTGGATGGGAAGTGGAGCTGCCTGGACTAGAACCGGTGCCCACACGGGCTCCCCGCACGTTCAAGTCGAGGACCTTAGCCGCTAGGCCACGCCGCCAGGCCTGAGCTTGGGGAATGTTAAGCTGAAGGGATAGCTTTAGGGTGGTTGTGAGCAGAGGGGTTCTGGAGAACAGTATCTGACGGAAGATCCGCCATGTACACAGTGAGTCAGGGAGCAGAACGGGTTCACCCAGGATGGTTGCAGATGTATGCAGGTTAGCATGTTGGCTGTCTGAAAAAGTCCAGCTTTGCTTTGCCATTGTCCGTATTCTTGGTCAAATAGGAACCATTGTCAGTTTTTGAGAGGAAAGGGATGTTTTATTAAAGTGTCAGGAACGTGGAGGAGTTGGTCTTCAGCCTAGCTGTTAGGCACCTGTCACCTGCTCCTGGGTTCAACTCTTGACCCTGGCTTCCTGCCGAGGTGCATCCTGGGAGGCAGCAGGGATGACTCATGTAATGGGTCCTCAGCATCGAGGTGGGAGAACGGTGGAGTTCCCGACTCCCATCCTTGGCCTTCTGTCTGTTGCAGGTATTTGAAAAGTGAACCAGTAGACGGAAACTTTCTCTCTGTCTTGTTCTGTTTCTTAAATGCATAGTGGATTGGTTATGGGCTGATGGTTATTGGAGCCGGGTGTGTACAGGGGCCATCGTATTTTTCAATGTATATTTATGTATAGTCTAAATCATCTGAAGTGAAAATTAAAAAAAAAAAATAGCCAAGTGCAGTCATGTCTTTCTGTCTCTAATTCATCAGTGACAACTCAGGCTAAAACCCAAGTTCACCTGGCCTCATCTGATTTATTTATTTGTGTATTTATTTAAAAATTTATTTATTCCCATTGTAAAGTCATATTTACAGAGAAGGAGAGACAGAAAGAAAGATCCTCCATCCACTGGTCCACTCCCCAAGTGGCGACAACAGTTGGAACTGAGCTGATCTGAAGCCAGGAGCCAGGATCCTCCCCCAGGTCTCCTTCTACATAGACGCAGGATCCCAAGGCATTGGGCCATCCTCAACTGCTTTTCCAGACCACAAGCAGAGAGCTGGATGGGAAGTGGAGCAACCAGGACATGAACTAGTGCCTACATGGGATCTTGGTGCAAGCAAGGTGTGGATCTCAGCCACTAGGCTGCCACTCCAGGCCCCTTATCTGGTTTATGTGACCTAACCCTCCACCATGTCCAGCCTCAGCTCTTGCCACTCATCTTTGCACCCTCCGAGTGCAGCTGCTTGTATATGCAGTTCCCTGAGTCCACACAGCAGCCTCTGTACACGCTGTTCCCGGCTTTGTGTCTTTGCTTTTCCTACCCCTTCTATCCTGGGGTCAACCATCTCCCCCTCAGGAAAGCCTCCCTTGGAGTGAACTGACGCATGCCGCACTGTCACCGTGTTGCTGCAGTTTTCTGTCTGCTACACAGGGACCTCTGTGTCACTACAAGCGTCAGCACTCAGTGATTATTGAATAAACGGTCATTCATCTGTACATTTCCAGCATGGCACTTCACTCAAGGAATGCTTATGGAATGAAAGCTGTTGATTAGGAATGCTGGGTTTTGCTTGGTGGTGTAGGTAGTTAGGAAGCTGTGCTTCCAATAACCCCGAGGTAGGGACGATACTTTATGGTGGAATTGGCTGGCAGCATATCGGAGGGAGCCGAGGAGTCATCTGAATTTCCTCTCATCTTTGATTTCTGCTCTGCAGGCATGGGTTGGAAGTGGAGCCTGTCCACCAACCTGAAGGCCACCAGCATCATGTGGTTAGTAACTGCTCCTCATTCCCCAATTGATGCCTCCCAGAAAAAAACGCCCGCCACGGTGTCAGAAAGCCCCGCTGCTATTCCACCAACAACCACTGGAGGGCGCCAAGCACCACTATGGATCTCAGCTTCCTGCCGTGGTCACCCACACCCGTCAGGTGCCCAGCAAGCCCATTGACCACAGCACCATCACTTCCTGGGTAGGCCTGTGAGATTATTTTGCCTTTTATTCCACTATACTTATTCAAATTCTAATTTTTCTGTTTTGCAACCAGGACCAATGCTCATGGGTACAGGTCAGGGAAACAATGTGGTCAGTTCTGTTCTCTGGTACATCTTCTGTTTCTATTCAGACTGAGGTGTAGGTGGACTATAATTGCAGTTCCCTTGGCTCCTCCTACCCGCATACTTTCTCTGAAAGAGTTCAGCGTTCACCACCCAGGAGCTGCCTGAGAAAGCTAGAAGGGTGACAGAATGTGTAAGGATGCCTGTACCCTGTCCATCATGTGAAAGGTGGAGTATGTAGGCACCGTCTGGATTGAAGTGCGGTCCGCAGAAAGGGCCTGTATCATATTCTGCTGGTTTAAAAGCCCTGGGAAGGGGCAGGCGTTTGGCTTGGCAGCTAAGATGCTGCTTGGGGAAGCATCATAGTGTGGGCTCAAAAGTCCAGCTCTGCTTCTAATTCCAGTTTCCTGTCAGCGCCCCTCCTCCTCTTCTCCAGGAAGCAGCAGGTGGTGGCTTAAAGTGTTGGTTTCTGGGGCCAGCATAAACAGTAAAATTGCGGGCCCAGCGTAATGACCTAGTGGCTGAGGTCCTTGCCTTGTGGACACCAGTTCTGGTCCTACCCATGAGGAAAGTGAAGCCAGAGAGACTGAGTAACTTGCCCAAAGCTCACGGCCTTCTAGTACGCCGGCAGACACTTGTTCTTGTGTTGTGTTCATTGCTGATGTGGGCTCCCCGTAGGATCCCGGTCATTAGGTATACTTTCTCAGGCTAGTCCTGACCAGGTGGCTTGTCTCAACCCATCTGCTTTTTTCTTTCCTTTTAAACCCTTAGATATCACCTCAGTTTGATAGAGCAGCAGAAAGCTGCTTCCCAGCACACCAGAAACAACCCTGCAACCCAAGACGACAATCAAGTCGGAAAGTCACCACGTCCAAGTTTCCACATCTAACTTTTGAGAGTCCACCACCTTCTTCCAGCTCAGAAACCCTGGAGATCCCCTTCAGCAAGGAGCCAGAAAAGGAAGCTTCCAGAAGGCCCTTGGTTCCGTTGCTCAGTCCCCAGAGCTGCGGCGAGCTGTCTGTGAATTCCCTTGGGAGCTTCCCTCATGTGTTCCTTCCTCCCGACATCCAGACCCCGGACTCATCTTCCACGAGGGGAGAGCCCCTGTCCCCCATGCAGAAGGAGAACAGGCACCCAGGCCTCCCCCTTCACCTCGCTACCCCCGGCAGCCCGGAGCCTGGGCCTGTGCTGGTTAAAGACACCCCCGAAGAGAAGTACGGGCTGAAGGTCACATGGAGGAGACGCCGGCACCTGCTGGCTTACCTCACGGAGAGGGGGAAGCTGAGCAGAAGCCAGTTCTATGTGAAGAACTGACCGGCTTCCCCAGCAGCCGCCCCCTCTTCAGCAGCCTTGAGAATGGCTGCTGTCACTTTTTGGCACGCAGGCGACCGTTTCTGAGGAATAAAATGAAGCCCAGAGGCCTGAGGGAATTCAATTCCCAACTGGCTTTTTAAGAAACTTGTGCAGTGAAGAGTGAAATCCAGTGTCACAGACTGTTCATGTTTTTTCTCATATTAGCTGTTTAAAAAGTTTTTTAAATATCCTGAGACTGTTTAAAATATATTACATAGATAGATGGTTGCGAAAGTTTAGAGAACTGTCGGTGGGGCAGCAGAGTTGCGCCTCCGCCCGAGGTGTGTGCGTGGTGTCTGTCACTGCTCACTCTTCAACCCCCGCACTCGCACTCATCCACTTTTGTTTTTTCCTGGTTGCAGACAGAAAAATGTATTTGTGAAGGGACTAGTGGGAAAAGAAGAAGGAAGCAAAAGTACCTCCCGGGAGAAAGCCAGGAGTGGGGTGCCTCTCGGGAGAGGGAGAGACACCCCAGACGAATCCATGCTCTGAGGCCCAGTGTCAACTTTCTGTGACCAGAAGGACAGAAGGACAGGAGAGGTCAGAGCGAGGCCTGTGGCCTTGCAGTGTCTGACTGCCACCTCTGACCTTGGCCGCGAAGGGGCAGCCAGCCCTTCAGGGAACACGGTGGGGTCAGAGCTGAGAGGGACCCTCTGGTGGGTCACTTGGAATTTCGCTGTGTTTCCAATCTGTTCCCACCCCCCAGAAATCGCAAATACTAACTAGGGTATGAACTTGGTTTCTTACAGTAACTGTTTAGATGGGGGATGTGTATATGTATAAATAAACATGGGCCCTTTGGAATGCTGCTTCCTGTAATGAATGCGATCTGGCCAGTTGACACACACCATTTGGCTGGTACAAACAGCCTCTCATTCAAGCCTGTTCACTGAGAAGTCAGGAACCCAGTCTCAGCGAGACAAGCGGGTGTTATCCTGCTTATTTTATAGGTGGGATTTTTAAAACATGAGTGCAGGAGCGGGAGAGCCACACCCTCAGTGGGCAGCACGCGGGGCGAGGGGCCCGACCTGCCTGCGGGTGCCCAGGCGCGCAGCGGCGGCCAACACATCCCTCGCCCGGTCCCTGCCCAGCCCAGCCGGCCCCCCAGGAGCAGCTGCCCAGGCCTGTCCTCCCCACGCTGGCGCAGGCGCCTTGACTCCGGGACTCCTCACGCCCCTTAGGAGTCCTCCAGCAACGCCGGCACAGCCAGTGAGAGCCGAGCGGCCGGCCAGAAGCCCAATGAGCGCCAGCGACAGTGCGCGGTGTGCTGGCCAGGGGGTGGGGCCCAGAGGACGGGCAGACTTGCCAACCTAGCCTCGGCGTCTCGGGGTCTGGTCTCGGGGTCTGCTCCCGAGAGCCGGCGATGGAGGCGCAACGCTGTGGAATGGCACCCCACGGGTACAGGTCAGAGAGGGATGGGGCTGGTCGCGGGCGGAGGGACGAAGCGCCCAGGCGGAGGTCCCGTCTAGGAGCTGGGGGAGGGGGCTGAGAGAGGGGCACTCCTACCCCACTTCCGATCTAGGACCTCTCCCCCCGCCACACACACACATACTTACCCTTCTTAGGCGTAAAGAAGGGCGTCGGGGAGCACGAACTCTGCAGCCCTGTGATGCACAGAAGGGAGCTCTTTGTGGCCGATCCCCGTTCAGGTTCTTGGAGCTCGCTTGGTTACCAAAAATGGGGTCTCTGTTACCCGGGCCGCAGAACAAGTTTTGGGGATCCAGGGAAGAGGAAGTTTAAATCACGGGTGGATGAAGCGGGTAGAGACCTAGGTTCCAACAACTCTGTGTCCAGTTGAGTTTTTATGAAGAACGCAAAAATCGGATGGATTGCTGAGACGTGGCTGATGGCAAAGTCAGGGAAACACGGGCGCTGTGAGGATGACAGGGTGTGTTGCCAGGCGCCGTGGCCGCCGCAGTTTCCTGAGAAACTTGCTGGATGGCTTGACTTTTTGGCATTGCAGAGTGTTTGCAGTTTCGCAGCTTGCAGAACGGTGTCTGGCTGGGGATCAGAGTTCAGAGCTTGGCATGTCTCCTTAAGCAGGAGGAAACCCACTGAGCCTCAAGTGGGTGTTCTGTGTGCCCCCGACTTCATTCAGAACCCCGAACATTCTGTTCTGGTCCTACAGACCCCCGGGGAGGGAGGAATGGCTTTGCTCCTTCAGCGAATTGTGCCCAAGGCTGGAATTCACCCCCAGTTCTTTACAAGCTTGATCCTTAGCCTTTGTGCATCAGAATATGAAAAAGAAAGATGCAGTCAAGTTGGCTTGCATATCCACCCCCTCCTTAGCTGCTGTGCCCTGCCCTGTCCCCAGGGGGGCACAGTGGAGGTTGAGGGTGGTTTTTAGTCATTCCCGCCCTGCCTTTGCTTTTGGCAGGCAATGCTGTGTTCTGGAATGGCGGCCCACGGTTGTAATTGGGAAGCTGTTGATTTGCCTCTCTGCTTTCCAGTGGCTGTGTCCTTAGCAGGCTGCCCTGGCCTCATTTTCAGACGTACCCTCCCGCCTTTGCCCCCACTGCCCCCCTTTATTTTTTGTTTTGCTGTCTCTGCCTGAGGGGAGAGCCCAGAATAGGTTTGGAAAGGCAGCCTGTGGGTTTTCTGGTGAATGAGGCTAAGGAACAGTTTAATGGCTTAAAACTTTGGTACTGACTTAGTCCTACAGGCCAACCCTAGCACTTGCCTTTATCGGGAAGAGCAAACATTTGGCACTTAAGGATTTTGTCCCATGCTTACTTAACTAGTGGACGTGTAAACAATTCTAAACTTTGATGTGACAAAGCAGAGGCTTAGGTAGACAATCACTGTTCCCCTCCTTCACCAAGTTCAAGTTCAGTTTGTGATCACTGCTCCACGTTTTGCCCCCTCCAAGTCAAGAGGACAGAACCCGAATCTACGTTTTTAGGTGCTGCATGGAGGTGAAGTGGGTATTTGGGCATCTCTGGTTGGATCCAAACACTTCTTGTTCAGATGTGGACCATCCATATTTTACTGGATGCACTTTAAGTAACGCATGTCCCAAGTACCAGATGTTTGATTGTGACTCACGATTTGGGGAAAAGAAAAAAGGAGAAGGGACATTGCCTCTGACTTTAGAGCCAGCAAAACAAAAGCACTTTCTTGCCGGAGCCCTCCCCTCCCCCTCTCATTTCTTCCCCCCAGAGAAACTTGCTCCTGCTTTTAAACTTGACATCAAAGGAGGTGTGTGAGTCACCGATTCTGCTGGCCCGAGGAACTTTCCCGCAAATTCTGCGGCTGTCTGTAGCTCCAAGAGAGGTGATGTCTCTTGCTCTTTCAGCTCCAGGTCGTGTGTTGAGTGTTCCTTCACAGATGTCGACAAGAATGTTCAGTTGTTAATACTTTACCGTGTGAAGGTAACATCTGGCTTCTAGGGACAGACATGGTGGCTCGACAGGCTAATCCTCTGCTTTGCAGCGCTGGCATCCCAATATCAACAACCGGTTCGTGTCCCAGCTGCTTCACTTGCCATCCAGCTCCCCACTTATGACCTGGGAAGGCAGTGGAGAATGACCCATCCCCTTGGACCCCTGTACTCATGTGCATGACCCAGAAGAAGTTCCTGGGTTGAGATTGGCTCAGCCCGGGCCGTTGCAGCCACTTAGGGAGTGAGCCAGCGGGTGGAAGCCCTTTCTTTGTCTCTTTCCTTCACTCTGTAAATCTGCCTTTCCCATAAAATAAATGTGTCAGTCTTTTTTTTTAAATCAGAATTTTAGATTTGCTGTGATGTTCATTTGTCTCTGAGTGATGTGACTGTTGAAAAGGAAGCCCCTTCATGGGAAAACAGAGTGGAGGAATTGCTGGCAGGCAGATTGTAGCGTCCTCTCCCCTGCACCACGGCTTTGGGAAGTGTGGAGATAGAAATGGCCGTTGTAAGTAGTGTTCCCGAGTGGGAAGCTGTGCGTTCTGTGTGTTGGGTGGTGGAGGTTGGCCTGGAGATAGAGAATAGGGCATGGGGAGCCTTGGAACCTGAGCCCTTCCTGGCTTTTGTTAGTGATACAGAACTGACATGGGGTGACCTTGTGACCTGGAGTTGTCTAAGAAACGTCCTGGCCCCACAGCTGAGAAGTGGAATCAGTCACCGCTGGGCGTTACGTCCTGGCCAGTCTTCCTCCTCGTGAAGTCTGAACGATAAGCGTGTTTTTGTTTTTTTATTCCCCCATGTGAAGGCCACTTCATGCATTTCTTGTCTTTCAAGGTTCAGGCAGGCGGCTGTAGCCGTCTTTGGGCATTGTGTTGATTTGTGCCTTCCCTTAGCTCATGGAAAGCTCTGCCTCTGCAGTCTTCCCTGTGCTTGTGTCTGGGTGGAAGAAAAACCCAGCACGTCTTCTGACTAGGAGGAAAGGAATGCACGAGCTACTCCGGGGAGGAGTGGAAGCTGCCTGGCTTCCTGGAACTGGAGGCTTGGAGGACCAGAAGGGGTCTGGGCAATAATTCCCTTTGGTTCCATCTCAGAGCAGCTCGGCAGCAGAATTGTCTTTTTTTTCCAACGAGAACTTTCTAGTCTGCTGCTTTTCCTGTTCACGAGGATTATGCTGTTAGGAACATTAGAGCTCTCTCTCTTTTTAAATTTACTTTTATTGCAAAGTCAGATTTAATGGAAGGAGAGACAAAGATTTTCTGTCCTTTGATTCACTCCCCAAGTGACCACAACGGCTGGAGCTGAGTTGATCCGAAGTCAGGAGGAGCCAGAAGTTTCCTCTAGGTCTCCCATGCAGGTGCAGGGTGCCAAGGCCTTGGGCCATCCTCGACTGCTCTCCCAGGCCACAAGCAGGTGATGGATGGGAAATGGTGCTGGCAGGACACGGACTGGCGCCCATATGGGATCCGGGCGCTTGCAAGGCTAGAACTTTAGCCACTAGGCTACCATGTTGGGGCCGAGGAACACTAGATTTCTGCCATCTCGCCTTTTCTGCTTGTGTCAGAGAAGGCTGCAGAATTTGCCCAGCATGATGACAGCTTGGATCCACTTGGGTCTGAGAAAAGATCTATATACAGAGACCGCATGCAGATGTCATGTCTGTTGCTTTGCCCTTGACCTTCTGTGCAAACATGCCTGGTGGTTTGGGGTGAGCCTCTAGGACCTCTGGGACACCGGGCTCGTTGGTAGGATGGCTCCCACTGTTTGGCCGTTGGCATTACAGGGTCCGGACTTCCTGTCCCAGCCGCCTCTTTGCACAAATGGCCATGAGCAGACCTCAGTTTTCTCTTACAGAAATGAGGGCTTCTCTGGACTCCCCTCAGTGATCTAAGAGATTAGTAAAATAATGTATAGGAAGCTGGTGCTGTGGTACAGCAGACAGATTTACTGTTCTGGGGTGCCACCATCCCAGATGGGTGCCAGTTCAAGTCCCAGCTGCTCCACTTCCAATCCAGCTCCCTGCTTATGGTTTGGGAAATCAGCAGCAGAGAATGGCCCAAAGGCTTGTGACTCTACACCTGTGTGGGAGATCTGAGGGAAGCTCCTGGCTTCTGGCTCTTGGCTTTGAACAGCTCAGATCAGCTTATCGCAGCCATCTGGAGAGTGAAGCAGTGGATGGAAGGCGTTAGAGTTTTTGTTTGCTTGTTTGTTTTTGTTTTTAAAATATATTTGTTTTTATTGCAAAGTCAGATATACAGAGAGGAGGAGAGTCAGAGAGAAAGATCTTCTGTCACTCCCAAGTGACTGCAACGGCTGGTGCTGTGTCGATCTGGAGCCAGGAACTTCTTTCAGGGTCTCCCATATGGGTGCAGGGTCCCAAGGCTTTGGGCCGTCCTCGACTGCTTTCCCAGGCCACAAGCAGGGAGCTGGATGGGAAGCACTGGGCCCCTCATTCAGCCATGTTAGAAGTATGCTTCTTGGGCCTGGCATGGTAGCCTAGCGGCTAAAGTCCTTTCCTTGCACGCATCTGGATCCCATATGGGCACTGGTTCTAATTCTGGAGGTCCTGTGCATGGGAGACCTGGAGGAAGCTCCTGGCTCCTGGCTTCGGATTGGCGGCTGCTCTGGTTGTTGTGATCACTTGGGGAGTGAATAAATGGACAGAAGATCTTCCTCTCTGTCTCTCCTCCTCTTTGTATATCTGACTTTGCAATAAAAATAAACAAGTTTTAAAAAAAGATCAAATAGGATCAAGCTAGGTAGCAGGGAGCGCAAGTATGTCTGTCTGTTTCCTCTGCTCAGTAGAAAGTTGTTTGTGTTCCTATATCCAGAAGAAACGTGTCTGAGATGTAAGCATTGGGTGTAATGTAAGCATTGTTTGAGTTTTGGCTGCACGGTCCAGCTCCCTGCAAATGTGCCTGAGAAAGCAGTGGAGGAAGGCCCAACTCCTTGAGCCCCTCCATCTTTGGGGGAGGCCCGGTTAGAGTTCTAGCTTCCTGGCTTTGGCTGACCCAGGCCTGGCCATTTATAACCAACTTGCAGAGTGAATCTGCGGGTGGAAGTTCTCTCTCTTTCAAATAACTGCAAAAGGATAAATTAAAATTGGAGGAAAATGAGTGCTTTTCCCATTAAGTTGACCCCTTTATTCATTTATTTGAGAATGATAAGCCACCCTTTTCTCCTGTGTTTGTTTGCTCAATTATAACTAACTGCTAAGACAGAGACCCTCCCGTTGGTGATGTCACAAAGGGCACCGTGGCTGTTGAAGGAAGGGTTCATTCGTGTTACATTAGCAAGGCCACGGGCCGCGCACGGCCGGCATGGTCTGCAAGTCCCATCCTGCTCCTTCCGGTGGGTGTTGACTCTTGCCAGGGCTGCCGCAGGAGCCGGTCCAGCCCTGTCCGGTCCAGCCCCGTCCTGGCCACGTGCTGACTCCAGCATCCTGATCATCTGGCACTGTGTGGGAGGTGGTGAGTGAGAACCCCTCCCTGGGGGCTCCGCAGCCACGGAGCTGGCATTTCTGACCACTTGGAGAATTGGCTCTATTTTTGTAGTCTGTCAGAACTTGACAGGGATGTGGAGGGTACAACATAATCATAGAACCCTTAATGCTTTATTAAATGCTTGGAGCTGTTTGGTAATCTGGTACATTGGGTATGACTTAGACTAATAAGGGAATAAGTAATATTTTAAGCGATTTATTGATGGGACCTGGAGTGATGGTTCAACTGGCCAATCATCCCCCTTCAAGTGCCGGGATCCCATATGGGCACTAGTTCTAATCCCAGCGGCCCCACTTCCCATCCAGCTCCCTGCTTGTGGCCTGGGAAAGCAGTCGAGGACAGCCCAAAGCCTTGGGACCCTGCACCCGTGTGGGAGACCTGGAAGAAGTTCCTGGATCCTGGCTTCAGATCGGCATAGCATCAGCCATTGCGCTCACTGAGTGAATCATCAGACGGAAGATCTTTCTCTCTATCTCTCCTCCTCTCTGTATATCTGACTTTGTAATAAAAATAAATAAATATTTTTTTTTTTTAAAGAAAGATATGGTACAGGGGGACTCAGAGAAAATTTTGGTGTCCAGAAACAAAGTTGGCTGGGATGGAACACATTCTCAGAAAGTTCTGTTGCTGTGATCTGCACATTGTTGAAGGCCTTGTCGGTCTCTTCGATTGTGACTTTGGCTGTAACTGAAGGACAGTTCAAAAGGATGTGTTCTGTCATAGTTGCTAGATCTTTCTCCAAGTTGTCTGTAGCATGCAAATAGGAAATCTACTGTAAGAGAAGTACCAGTTCCATCCATTCTGTTCGGTGAGAAATCCTTCTATTTTGTATTGATTTACTAATTAGTCCTGGTTAGGCTTGCTATAATAACTTCATTTGAAATGAAGGAAAAGGGAACATTGAAGGGGAAAAATGCAAATTCAGGAATATCGTATTCTAGTTCAGACTAGAACTATTCATTTAGTTTGAATGTAAATACAGAAAACCTGTTCCTCCCCAGTTAGAATTTCTACTTGGAGGGAGCTGGCATGGTGGCTCAACAGGCTAATCCTCCGCCTTGCGTTGCTAGCATCCCATATGGATGCCGGTTCCAGTCCCAACTGTTCTGCCTCCTATCCAGCTCCATGCTTGTGGTCTGTGAAGGGAGCAGAGGATAACCTGGGTCCCTGGGCCCCTATACCTGTGTGGGAGACCTGGAGGAGGCTCCTGGCTCCTGGCTTCAGATCAGCTCAGCTCCATCCATTAATGGCCATTTGAGGAGTGAATTGGCAGATGAATGAACTTTGTCTCTGTCTCTTTCTCTCTGGAAATCTGCCTTTTTCCCTCAATTTCCAGTAAAGAAATAATAATTTTAAAAAATGGCCTGTAAAGGTAGGAGGTATGCAACTGGTAAGAAGAGAGAACTTGTGTTAATTGTTCTTTAACGTTCAGGTTGAAAGCTTTGATCCCACCTGCTAATTTGGAGTGTCTGGTTAGCTTGCCCGGGCTTGATGGCAGGCGCTCAGGAGTGTCTAGAAGGCGCTGGACTCACACCTGGCATCACACTGCCTCCTCCCCAGAGAGGTCTGAAGGGAAGTGCTTGAGAATGTTACTTCTAGGTCAGAGTCAGCATCGTTGTCCTTGCAGAGCACCTAGGTGTTAGCCCTTTGGGTTTGGGGGATGATTTTTTGTTAAAGTACCATAATTTAGAACAGTATGAGTTTGAGGAAAAGCAATTCATAGCAGCGGCTTATCCTTCCCTTTATGTTATGTTCAAAAATGTCGTTGTCTTAAATAATTTTTACAAGACTGATTTGAGAGGCAGAGTTACCTAGAGGGAGACAGAATCTTCCATCTGTTGGGTCACTGCTCAGATGGCCACAGTGGCCAGTGCTGAGCCAGACTGAAGAAGCTAGGAGCTTCTATCCAGGTCTCCCACATGGCTATCAGGGGGCCAAGCAACTGGGCCATCTCCTCCTGCTTTTTCCAGACCATTAGCAGGGAGCTGTGATGGAAGTAGAGCAAGCCAGTGCCCAAAGGGAATGCTGGAGTCGCAGGCAGAAATTTTACCTGCTATACTGCAGTGCTGGTCCCTGCCTTTACAATCGTTAAATCTAGAACATTTTCATTTTCATATAGATGCCCACTCAATACCAACAAAATAATAGTAAATATATGAAGGTGGGCAAAACATGAAGCATGTCTTCCCTGGGAATGTTGCTGGGTTCCTCTGTTGAGCTGGGAGAAGGAGATGACTCACTGGAGACTCTGGTCCTTGCAACATGAAGGTGGTGAGGGAATTGGCAGAGAGAGGGGAATGTGGCAGCTTAGGAGGGGCCTCCACCTCTGGATAACTAAGGTGTAGTTACACCTTTGGCAGATTTGTGGGCACCAAGAATCTTGTGCCTAGGAAGCCGATTCCAAGCTGCTGAGTGCCCGTGTCCGCGGAGCAGTGCAGCAGTAAACCACCCAGCCCCCAGTGGGTGCTTTGGTGAGTTTGTGCCAAGTACAGCACCAGCTGTGCTATGCACAGCCCTGCTGTGTAGTCACGGACTTTGTCTTGTTAACTGAGAGCCCGAGAGCTGTCTCAGCCCCGCTCCGTGCTTCACTCATGCCAAGAATGCTGAGTCACAACCTAAAATCCTCCATCAGCAAATTGCTGAGACTAGAATGGCTTTGGAGAAGGGTGGAAGAATATACAGAAAGGTTTGCTTTTATCATCTGAAGGCAGTTGTTTGATTCAGTTTGATTTTCTAAAAATATCTATTTTTATTGGAAAGGCAGATTTACAGAAAGGAGAGACAGAGAGGAAGATCTTCCACCTGCTGGTTCACTCCCCAAGCGGCCACACCAGCTAGAGTTGAGTTGATCAGGAGCCAGGGATGTCTTCCAGGTCTCCCAAAGGGCACAGGGTCCCAAGGCTTTGAGTCATCCTCTCTGGATGTGATTTTAAAGGGATTTTTTTCTTCTCACACACTTTTTTTTTCCTTTTTACAGTGTCTTTGAAGATGAAACAATGCGGCTTCGACAGCTAAAACTGGACAATCAGGTGAGTCTGCTCTGGCGAGCCGAGTGGACGATGACATGGGCTGCCAGACCGAAGGTCCTTGTCCCCAAAGCTTGGCGACATTTGGAAGGACGAGGCTCTGATGGTCAGCCTTGGTCAGGAAACACTGGAGTTGGTGGGTGCTGAACCAAAGCCCTAGGTAACAAGGTTGCCCCCAGTGACACTGACCTTGACTTTTATGATCATTGAAAATTAAAAGAATGTTCACATTGTACTTCTCTGTAGTGATTTGATACTGCCACTTTAAAAAAACGTCCCTACTGGGTCCTGTGTGGTAGCCTAGCGGCTAAAGTTCTTACTTTGCATGTGCTGGGATTCCATATGGGTGTCGATTTGTGTGTCCCTGCAGCTCCCCTTCCCATCCAGCTCCGTGTCTGTGGCCTGGGAAAGTAGCAGAAGGTGGCCCAGGGCTTGGGCTCCTGCACCCACATGGGAGACCCAGAAGAAGCTCCTGGGTCCTTGCTACAGACCAGCCCAGCTCTGGTCAATGTGGCCACTTGAGGAGTAAAAGAGTAGATAGAAGATCTGTCTTCTCTCTGCCTCTCGTTCATTCTCTGTAAATCTGCCTTCCAAATAAAAATAAATAAATCTGTTAAAAGAATCTACATAATTTGGGAGGCAGAGAGACATCTCCTACCCATTGCTTCACTCACCAAGTAAATCATGTGGTGCTGGGCCAGGCCAAAGCTGGATGCCAGGAACTCCATCTGGGTGTCTGGTGTGGGTGTCAGGGAGCCAACAATTTACGCCATCATGTGTCGCCTCCACCTAGAGGCAGAAGGCTGGAGTTGCGAGGAGAGCTGGGACTTGGGCTTGGACACTTTAATTTGGGATACAGTGCACAAGAGAGTGTCTTAGCTGCTGTCATATGCCCGCCCCCTTACGATGTTTTGTAACTGAGGAAATTCTGTCACTATCGTCTGCTTATGAAGGATTATTAAGAACCAAGATGGCTAGAGTCTGTGGATGACTAAAAGTTTCTCTAAAGTTTTGTCATCTTTATGTTGGTAAAAATTGAAAGTGGGACTTATGGCCAAAATAATGACTTTAAAAGCAGAATTATCTAAATCTAGGAAAGAAACTAACATTTTATGACCATGAGGATGATTCTGATACATAAACACAAATACATATTTATTCTCCTCAACAAAGATCCGAGTAAATGTCTTAAGAGGAGTTAAGATTTTCTGCATTCTGTTGCATAGAAAATTGTAGGGAGGGCCCGGCGTGATAGCACAGTGGTAAAGTCCTCGCCTTGCATGCATCGGAATCCCATATGGGTGCTGGTTCTAATCCCAGCAGCCCTGCTTCCCATCCAGCTCCCTGCTTGTGGCCTGGGAAGGCAGTTTTGAGGACGGCCCAAAGCCTTAGGACCCTGCACCTGCGTGGGAGACCTGGAAGAAGCTCCTGGCTCCTGGCTTTGGATCAGCACAGCACCAGCCGTTGTGGTCACTTGGGTAGTGATCCATCTGATGGAAGATTTTCCTCTCTGTCTCTCCTCCTCTCTGTATATCTGACTTTGCAATAAAAACAAATAAATCTTAAAAAGAGAGAGAGAGAGAAGGCAGGTGGTTTGCATTTTCCACACAAAGAGCATGATTTATACTGGGACTCCAGGGCTACCCTAGGCAAGGACAGTGTCCCAGCTGGAAAGTCACCTATTTCATCCCATCGGAAGATATATCCCTTCAGCAGAGGTAAATAAATCATATCATCCAGCATTAGATTCTTAGAAACCCACAACAGGAAGCTGGGCTGAATCCAGGAGTCCCTGGGGACTGGTCAGGGTCTTTCCCTGAGCGCAGGAATCCAGCCAGTGGGGCCATGTTAGTCTGTAGCAGTGGCTTCCCGGTGTGCACTGGCAGGAAGCTGGAATGGGGAGCTGGAGATGGCCATCTAATGCAAGCGCTCTGACATGGGACACAGCATCCTACCCTGTCTGCCCACCCTGTGGTCCTGATGAAGGAAGATGAACAGGAAAATAAAACTTTCACTAATGAAAATCATTTGAGGTTTAGAGGCTCATACAGTTGTTTTGTTTTGTTTTTGCTAATTATAAAACTAAGGACATTTGGGAAAATAGAAAACTGGACCATAAAAATGTGTCATCCTATTCTGGCCACCCAGAGAAATCAGTTGGGCCGTGTTCTTCCATCTCTTTCTCTATGCACATACGTGTTTGTGTGTTTTGAACCCCTGATCCATTCTGATCACAGATTGGTCACCATCCCGAGTTCAGTAGACTCAACTCCTGACCCTGGCCCGGCTAGAAATGTGTTGTATGCTTTTTAAGTCTTTATAGAGGGGCCGTGAACACTGATCCGTGCTATGAATGAACCTTGTGCCTCTCTGGCCTCAGCGCCCCCACTTCTCCAAATAAGAGAAGATCATCTGTAAGCGTTCTTGTGAGCATCGGTGAAAAACAAAATTCTGAATATTCAAAGCAGCCGGGCCTCCTGGCTGTCTCACCACATTGTTTTCTAGAGAGCGCTGCTGGAGAAGAAGCAGAGAAAAAAGCGCCTTGAGCCACTCATGGTGCAGCCAAACCCTGAAGCCAGGCTGCGTTGGTCCAAGCCAAGGGGTAGTGAGGATCAGACTCCTTTGGTGGATCCCTGTCCCCCTCACAGCGATGTCATCCTGCACGGTGTGTATTTGAGGCAGCGTCACTTCCTGCTGGGGTGCAGTTCTCATAAATCATAGGAGAAGGTGAGAGGATTGGCAGGTTTACCAAAGGACCATATGAACACTGTTACTCAGTACCTTTATCCGTGGACTTGCATTTTGGGTCCTTGAATAGAACAAAAGCAGTAGTCTGAAGTCAGTGGAAGATGCCTTTCAAGGTCACGTCTGTCCTAGAATCACTGCTTTTCAAGGCCACGTATACTATTCTAGAATGGCCTACTGGAGCAGCTTACGGTTTTAATGATCCCACCATGGCAGAGGTTAATGTTAGTGATGCCAGGACTAAGTGGGTTCCCAGTAAATGGCTCTAAGGACCATCCGAAAGGGCAAGGGAGGAGAAGGAAGGGGAACCGCTTCTAACTCACACCCCAAACTTGCCCTGCCTCCCCTCGCAGTTGGCTCTGATAGCATCAAGTCTGTGTTCCGTCACTGCCAGAGCATGTTAATGACATGGGCACCTAGGCTGCTCTCCTACCAGATGCCCTCACAGGTGTTCAGACAAGAGGAGGGCCGTGGAGGTTTGGAAGTGAGTTCTGGTGGTGGACACAGAAGCCTCCCAGCTCACGAGTGGGTAACGCTCGCCTCTTCTCTTTTCTCTCGGCTTAGGCATTGATGGGCCAGCCGCCTCCCTGAAGCCAGATGCCCAAGAGCTGGAAACCAAAATTCATGTTCTCTCCGTAGGCTCTGCTGCTACGGAAGAAGAGACTAAAGGCAGTGCTGATGGGGAGAGCACTTTGGAGACCGTTCCCAAGCCAGATCTGCAGGAAATTCTTCAAAAACACGGTGAGGGCTACTTGCGATCACTCTGAATTGTCCACCATTTTCAGGGCTGGGCCAGGTTGATGTCAGGAGTCAGGAACTCCCTCTGGGTCTCTCCCTTTATCTATCTATTCTATCTATTAATTGATTATTGAAAAGGCAGATTTTAGAGAAAAGGAAAGACAGAAAGATCTTACATCTGCTGTTTCACTCCCCAAATGGCCTCAGTGGCTGGAGCTGAGCTAATCTGAAGCCAGGAGCCTGGAGTTCTCCCACATGGGTACAGGATCCCACAGCTTTAGGCCATCCTCTGTTGCCTTCCCAGGCCATGATGGGAAGTGGAGCAGCCAAGACACAAACTGGCGCCCATATGGGATCGCAGTGCTTTGCAAGGGGAGTGTTAGCCAATTGAGCCATTGAACTGGGCCCCCTCCCACTCTTACGTGGGTGGCAGAGACCTAAGCACTTGGGCCATCAGCTGCTGCTTTCCCAGGTGCATTAGCAGGGAGCTGGATTGGAAGCAGAGTGTCTGGGACTTGAACCAGTGCTGCCAATATGAGATGAGGGTATCGTAAGTGGTAGGACCAGCCCCAGGAAGATCATTTTAAACGTTTATTTTATTTAAGAAGCAAAGAAAGAAATCTTCCATACTGGTTTAGTCCCCAAATGCCTGCAACAGTCAGGGCTGGGCCAGGCTAAAGCCAGGAGCCTGGAGCTCCATCTGAGTCCCCCCCAAGGTGGCAGGGATCTGCTGACTCTCATATCCGATGTGGGCATCCCAAGTGCTGGTTTAACTGCCATGCCACAGTGGCAGCTCCTGGCATACCTAGATTCTGATTCTTATCCATTTATTGTCCCTGACTGTAGCTACTAAATTACCTCTGCAACACCCTGTTAAATGACTGCTATTGTTCTTCAGATTCACCTTTTAGTGTCAAATGGATTTATGCCTTTTTAAAAAGATTTATTTTATTTTATTTTTTTATCGGAAAGTGAGGAGGAGAGACAGAGACAAAGATCTTCCATCCACTGATTTCACTGCGCAAGTGGCCACAATGGCCAGAGCTGAGCCAATCCGAAGCCAGGAGCCCGGAGCCTCCTCCGGGTCTCCCACGTGGGTGCAGGGTCCCAAGTCCTTGGGCCTTCCTCAGCTGCTCTCCTAGGCCACAGGCAGAGAGCTGGGTGGGAAGTGGGGCTGCCGGGATTAGAACTGGTGCCTATATGAGATCCCGGCACGTGTGTTAGGCAAGGACTTTAGCTGCTAGGCTACCATGCTTGGCCCAATTTATGCCTTTTTATATCTCTTTGTTTCAAGGTTTTTCTTTTTTAAATTTTTAATCAACATTTTAAAAATCATCAATCTTTTTATCTCTGCTTTTTCCTGCCAGGTATTTCAAGCAGTTTGAACTTTGATGAGGAAGAAAGTGATGGTGAAGAGGAAGGAAAAAAATCAAGTCCCCATTCCCCACATTCAGAAACAGGAAGACCCAATTCTGCGTCCAGCCAGAAATCAGCCAAGGTATACCATTCCCAGACTGCTGTGGAGCAAATCTGACTCCCAGCTACAACTGTTTTAATATCATTGCTCAATGAGTAGTTCACCACTTGTAGTTTATAACTTCAACATTGAAGCTCCAATTTAGACTTCAAGTTTATGACCTCTTTTTTTTAAGGGTTTTGCTTTTGGAAGATAGGTTTACTTAGGTAAGGCAAGACAGAGAGAGAGAGCTCTTCCATCTATTAGTTCACTTTCCAAATGGCCGCAGTAGCTGGAACTGAAAAACCAGGAACTGAGCCCATCCAAAGTCATAAACCAGAAGCTAGGAGCTTCTTCCAGGTCTTCCACGTGGGAACGGGGTGCTAAGGACTCGGGCTGTATTGTACTGCTTTCCTAGGCCATAAGCAGAGAGCTGGATCAGAAGTAGAGCAGCTGGGACATGAACTGACACCCATATGGGATGCTGGTGCTTATAAGTAGAGGGTCAGCCTGTTGAGCCATTGCTCCAGCCCTGCCCTCTCCAATTCTGTCTCAGGTTGGCTATTAGCAGGCCATATCCTTCCTTCTTAGCTCCTGCATTATTCCCAATGCGCTGGTCTTAACTTTTTAAATTTTCTCCTTTACGTAGAGGTCAGTCTGTCTTTCTGTCCACTCTGTTCCTGGCAGGGTCTCTGAGGCCCTCTGCCCCAGCCTCCCATTGCTCACAGGTGACTGTCCTTTCAGGATACAGGTGCTTCCGGAACTGCTGCCCAACAGGCTGAGCAGCAGCTGGGGGATGTGGAGAACCTGGAGGAGTTTGCGTACAGCCCTGCCCCTCGGGGCATCACCGTGAAGTGCCGGGTGACGCGGTACAAGAGAGGAGTGGATCAGGGGCTCTTCCCCACCTACTACATGTTCTTGGAAAAAGGTGAAAATCAGAAGGTATGAGAGCTGAGTCCCCTGGTGCCTCCTGGGAGCAGGTAGGGATGCTGGGGAATAGATTGCTGATGGAGAGAACAGCGCTGTTATGCCAGGCCAGCAGGAAGTAGATTGAAATAGGTTGTATTAATTCTTCCCAAACCCCCCACCCCCAAAAAAGTCTCATTCATAATTTAGGAAGATAAAGGGGATTTTAAAAAAAGATGTGTTTATTTTTATTGGAAAAGCAGATTTAAAGAGGAAGGAGAGACACAGGGAAAGATCTTGTATCTACTGATTCACTCCCCACGTGGCCACAATAGCTGGAGTTGAGCTGAGCTGATCTGAAGCCAGGAGCTTCTTTCAGGTCTCCCACATGGGTGCAGGGTCCCAAGGCCTTGGGCCATCCTCCACTGCTTTCCCTGGCCACAAGCAGGGAGCTGGATGGGAAGTGGGGTACCGGGACATGAACCAGTGCCTGCATGGGATCCCGTGCACTTGAAAGGGGCGGATTAGCCAACAGAGCCATTTTGTTGCCACCTCTCCCCTTTTTCCTTTTCATTATGGTGGAACGTAATATTGAAAAAGGAGAAGGTTGTAGGGAATAGGAAGCTTTGGAATTTTAGAAAAATATGCATGTTAAATGTTTCATTCTCACCCTGGGTATTGAAAGTGTGAGGCAATTGAATATTTGCTAATGAACAGCACATTTTGTACTTGCGTCAATGGTTTTAAAGAGCCCAGCAGTGAGACGGTGATGAGAGGTCTTGTTGTTGTAACTACTACAGTATCCCAGGCCTGCAGTCGATGTTTATGAGTATTGGCACTCGGGGTCGGTGGAACAGCCTCCTCGGGTCGGAGTGCTTGTCTCTCCTGTATGTAAGAGATCACCCGGGCTCAGGGAACAGTCAGATCAAACAAATGAGTTGACAGAGCCAGATTCAAACCCATGCCTCATGGAGTCCAGGGGTCCCCTGCTTAGCCACGTCCACTGCCCTGATCTCCCTACCATCAACCAGGTCTGTAGAGCTCAGGAACATTTATTTCAGTGCCATCACAGGGATTTGAAGCAGCTACAAAATACAGAGAGAGAGTAACATGTACAGTGGTCACAGGAGGAGGGTCTGGGAAGATCCTTAGGACCCAGCCTCCTCTGATGTTGGAAGGAAGGACTGATTTATACCATTGGATGAAGATGTTTTCGAAAAGTTATTGGGAGTTTTATTACAAATAATTATGGGGAGAATCAAGCTAGTGGATTTTGAAAAAGCACACAGGAAGGAAAACCATGACGGTTTCTGAGACAGACACTGAGAGGCTTAGAAAAGGAGAGACATACAGATTATTTGGCCCACAATATGCATGCTATAAATATTTGCTGAATGAAAAGGTAGAAGAACCATGGGGTTCCTTTTGTTTAAGATTTTTCCATTTTTTATTGGAAAGTCAGATACACAGAGAGGAGGAGAGACAGAGAGGAAGATCTTCCATGTACTGGTTCACTCCCCAGGTAGCCACAATGGCCAGAGCTGAGCTAATCAGAAGCTAGGAGCCAGGAGCTTCTTCTGGGTCTCCCACACGGGTGCAGGGTCCCAAGTCTTTGGGCTGCCCTCAATTGTTTTCCCAGGCCACAAGCAGGGAGCTGGATAGGAAGTGGGGCCGCTGGGATTAGAACTGGCACCCATATGAGATCCAGGTGCATGCAAGGTGAGAATTTTAGCTACTAGGCTACCCACACTCGTCCCAGGGTTCATTTTTAATGATATTTTCCCTCTCTCTCTCTTCCTTTCCTCTTTCCCTCCATTCCAGACGTTTCTTCTTGCAGGTAGAAAACGGAAAAAGAGCAAAACCTCCAACTACCTGATCTCTACCGACCCAACAAATCTGTCTCGGGAAGGAGAAAGTTACATTGGCAAGCTCAGGTGAGTAGCCATGTATGACTGCCCGGCTTCTTCAGGAAGTTTCATAGCTTTAGCTTCAGAACAGTTTGTGGTTTTTTCTTTTTATTAGCAATTAATCATGTTATAATCTTTATATAGGAAAAAAAAGTTTAAAGGATATCTAAGCCCTTTCCTTGATTGTAATGAAAGCTCATTGAAAAAAGAAAATAAAAGTAAGGAGGGTTGAGCATGCAAGCATTTGGAGATCGGCCCAGCAGGCTTCTGTTCTGTTACTTTACCTCTCCTGGCCTGTGTAAGGGCAGAAGCCTAGCTCCTCCGCGGGCTTTTTCTCCTGACTGCAGATCCAACCTCATGGGGACCAAGTTCACAGTCTACGATCATGGTGTCAACCCCATGAAGGCGCAGGGTCTGGTGGAGAAGGTGCACGCCCGGCAGGAGCTGGCCGCCGTCTGCTACGTAAGTGCGGTTCCCACCCCGTGCGTGCCCCTTGGCGTGTCCTGCTGCCGCCGGTGAGCAAAGCTCAGCTGAGACCCTTCCCTCCCAAGTCTGCTTCCGTGGCTTCCCCCTTTCCGTTGCCAGCGTCCTGTTCTCCATGCATGCAAGCTGGACTTAGGAATAGCCAACTCCAATTCTAACACATCACACTTCCCTTTCAGACTCCTGCTAGCAACCTCCTCCCATTCCCCTCGATCAAGCCACAAGGACTCCACTGTCCCCTTGGTTCCTTTGTCCACCGTGTCTCCTCACCTGAGAGCCTTCTGTTGCCCTCCCCATCCCTTCCCTCCCTTCACCCTCCTCTCACCTCTGCTTTCCCTCTCATCTTCCCCTGCTTACTGAATCAGCTCCTACTGACATCAGACAAGTCTTTTCTGCAGTTGACATTCCTTTGCCCATGTCACCATGGCTCCTTTAACCCGCCAGCACACCCACTCACTGCTCCTTGTCAACGTGAACCTTCCCTGCCAGTTTGTAAACTGTGAACCATTCACCATGGTATCCACCGAGGTGTAGGATGTGGGCACAGTTAGCATTCAGAGAGGGTTGAGTGAAAAGAAGCAAGAAGGAATGGACTCAACTCAGATATTTCCACCCCAAAGTCTCATCATTTCGTTCCTATGAGTTTTTTACCCCCCAAGTGCCTGAGAACGATTTCACTTCAAGGATTACTTGTTGAGTAAAGCATTTTCCTAGATAGTTTTCACATATGTAAATATGAGTACTGACACCTATATCGACCTATTTAATATGCTTATATGTATTCATATAAACTGCCTTGCCTAACTTTGAATTTTATTTAAGATATATTATTTATCTGAGAGAGAGATTCCATCTGCTGCTTCATGCCCTAAGTAGCCACAACAGCCAGCTCTGGGCCAGGCTGAAGCCAATCGGCAGAAACTCCGTCCTGATCTCCACATGGCAGGGACCCAATTCCTCGAGCGTCTTCTGCCGCTTTCTCTCGTGCATTAGCAGGGAGCTGGACTGGAAGCAGAGCTTTTCTGGGATTCAAGTCAGAACTCTGATATGGGATGCCAATGTCACAAGGATAGTTGAACCCAACAAACCACAAGCCTGGCCACCAATATTTGAATTTTTAACCTGCTGATACAAATCCTGATAAAACTGTGATTCTCATTGTGTATCATAGAGTCTCATGTCCTCATTGGGAAAGATATATAAATTGACAGTGACCAAGTTGGACAGTCCGTAGTTGCCTCAAGTTCCACCTAAGTGAAAAGTCTTTAGTCGAAAGACTAAAGCGGAACCTTGTGAAGTGTCAGCCCCTGGAATGGGTTTCAAACGCAGGTGCTCACACTGCAATGCTACCCTCCTTTTTTCGATCTCTCTCTGTTTGATTATAGCTCTTGGCTTTGTCAGCATCTCACACTCCCAGGAAAAGTTCATGTTACTGTGGAATGCGGTATCCTTTTCCTTTCTGTACCCAAGTTCTGGCTCATGCTCCTGTCTTCCAGGAAACAAATGTGCTTGGATTCAAAGGCCCCAGGAAAATGTCTGTGATCATTCCTGGGATGAATATGAATCATGAACGGATCCCGTTTCAGCCACGAAATGTAAGAACAGGGCACGTGCAACCAGCAAAGGATGCGGGGGGATTAATGCAGTATAGACGAGATGAACATGAGCAAACTCCCAGTTCTTCCAGAACCCACACTGGGAGACAAACAAAAACCTGGCTTCATTTCTTAAATATCTATTTTATTTATTTAATAAAGATTGATTTATTTGAAAGGCAGTTACGGGGTAGAGAAGAGGAGAGATTGAGAGAGAAAGAGAGATCTTCCATTTGCTGGTTCACTCTCCAAATGACCACAAGAGCTGGAGTTGAGCCAGACTGAAGCCAAGAGCCAGGAGTTGGTTTGTTTGTTTGTTTTTGTTTTTTTTAAAGAGTTATTTATTTTTACTTGAAAGGCACATTTACAGAGAAACCAAGAGACAGAAATCTTCCATCTGTTGGTTGACTATAAATGGCTGAAGTGACCAGTCAGAACTAAGCCAATCTGAAGCCTGAAGCCAGGAGTTTCTTCTAGGTCTCTCAAGTGGATACAGATGCCCAAACACTTGGGCCATCTTCCACTGCCTTCCCAGGCACATTAGCAGGGAGCTGGATCAGAAGTGGGGCAGCTGAGTCTGAAATCAGCACCCATACGGGATGCAGCATTGCAGGTAGCAGTTAACTAGCTACACCACAGTTTCAGCCATGATTGATTGATTGATTGATTTGAAAGGCAGGATTGCAGAGTGAGAAAGAGAGATCCTAGCTGCTGGTTGGTTCATTCTTCAAATTGCTATCATAGCCAGAGCTGATGGGCAGCATTTGCTGTTGCTGTTTTCGGTTCAATAGCAGGAAGCTAGATCAGAAGTGGGGGCACCTAGAATTCAAACTGTTTTTTCTTTTCTTTTTTCTTTCTTTTCTTTTATTTATTTATTTTTTTATTTGAAAGTCAAGAGTTATGGGGTGGGACAAGGAGGAGAGGAAACAGAAATTTTCATCCATTGATTCACTCCTCAAGTGGCCGCAGCTGCCAGATCTGGGCCAGTCTGAAGCCAGGAGCCTGAGCTTCCTTCAGGTCTCCTTTTGTAGGTACCGGGCTCCAAGTACATCCTCTGCTGCCCTCCCCGGAGCATAAACAGAAAGCTGGATTGGAAGTGGAGCAGCCGGGACATGAACCAGTCCCTGAATGGGATGCAAGCCCCACAGGCGGTGGCTTTAGCTGCTACGCCAGTGCTCCAGCCCGTTAAGCTGGCTTTTGATAGGGAATGCCAGTTTCCCAAAAAGTGGCTTAACCCCTGCCGAAGGCTGGACCCTTTAGCTTTAAAGCTTTGGCTTTCATTCTTTTTCTGTTTTACCCTTTCTGATACCTCCTGAATTCCTGGGGTCCCCCTGAATACCTCTGGTTCTCTGCACTGAAGTAACGGTGTTCCCCTCAAACAGGACCACGAGAGCTTGCTTTCTAAGTGGCAGAACAAGAGCATGGAGAACCTGATTGAACTACACAACAAGGCCCCCGTGTGGAACGATGACACTCACTCGTACGTCCTGAACTTCCACGGCCGGGTCACCCAGGCGTCTGTCAAGAACTTCCAGATAGTCCACGCCAATGACCGTGAGTCCACGGGGGGTGGGGAGACAGTGCTGTCTCACACACGGTGTGGAAGTGAACACCGCCTCCAGCCAACAGGAAGTGGGCTTCGGGAGAGAGTAAGCTAAGACACGATCTCTGCGGAAAGACAAAACTGTTTTCGGAGGAAAACTAGAGTGCTGTGTTGAGACCTGGACAGACTTACCAAGGCAAGGCGGGGAAGCAAACTGCCCTACGGCCCTGGATAAAGGTCTCTTGGTAGCTGTAGTCTGTGGAGCCTGTAAGTCTTCCCCAACTCTGCCTTTCTGTCCCACTGCCCTGTCTTGTTGCCAGGAATGATCTTCCAGGTTCTGTAGGGGAGAGGAGTATTGTAGAAGAAACTGCCTGTGCCTCATGGACACTTTTTTTCCTTTTATGATTGATAAGAAAAGAGAGAGAGAAAAACAATTTTTTTTTTGTTCAATCCCCAAATGGCTGCACTGGTTAAGGCTGGGCCAGGCCTGAGGCCAGAGCCAGGAGTTCCATCCAGGTCTCCACATGGGTGTCAAGGACTCAGGTACTTGACATGTCTTCCCAGACACATTGGCAGAGAACTGGATCGTAAGTGGAGCAGCTGGGATTTGAGTAGGTACTCTGATCTGGGATGCTGGCATCCCAGTTGGTGGGTTAACAAGCTGTGCCACGACATCCTCCCCAGGTTTTTGGTTTTTGTTTTTAATTTATTTGAGAGAGAGAAAGCTCTCCTCCATCGCTTGGTTCACTCCCCAGATGCCCTCAGTGGCTGGGGCTGAGTCAGAACAGGCTCTGAGAACCCTGTTCAGGTCTGCCATGTGGGTGGCAGGGACCCGAGCCATCACTGTTGCCTCCCAAAGTCTGCACGGAGCGAAGCTGGAGTCAGAAATCCAACCCAGCATTCCCAGTACAGGCTGTGGGCACCTGAACTTGGGATCTTCGCTGCCTGGCCGGACACCCACCCAGTCCTGTAGAAGTTTCCGGAGACCTGATGGCACACTGACCCATCTGGAGGCTGTTTTCTGTATCTTTGTCAGTTCTCCCTCAGCATGTCCACAGGGTCACCTGACACTCCTCCTGCTTCTCGTCCCCAGCCGACTACATCGTCATGCAGTTTGGACGCGTGGAGGATGACGTGTTCACCCTGGATTACAACTACCCACTGTGTGCCCTGCAGGCCTTTGCCATCGGGCTGTCTAGCTTCGACAGCAAGCTGGCCTGTGAATGAAGGCATGGCAGCAGAGGGGTGGCCCTGCCCTCGACCTCACCCTTTGCCTGGGATGTGAAGAGCCATGGCCTTTCCTTCTGGAACAAGCTCTGAATGTACATGTGTGTATATGTGTCTACACATATGTGTGTACAGTGCACACACACACACACGTGTTGGCACACGCACACTGCTCCTCTGGGTTCTACAGACTTGCCAGGGCTCCTGGCTGGACCTGGGTGAGAGACGGCTGACAGCACAGAGGTTCAGGTTTGCAGAACACAGATGGTTCCTGCAGTTACTGTCCGACAGACCGCATGCCCCAAGTGTAAGATTTCCCATGCCTGGAAAGCCGCAGCACCATCAGATCCTCGTGATGGAACTCATGGCATCTCTCTCTCTTTCTGAAGACCTTTTCAGAGAGCGATGGTTCCCCCTAAGTTGCCTTCAGTCCCCAGGGATGGGGTTCTCACACTTTCCTGTGCACAAGCAACTCAGCTGCCCCTCCTCTGCCTTGGGAATACAGAAGCAGCCACAGACAAGCCACAAAGGAAAGATCCAGTGGAAGGAAGCATCAGTGACCTCAGGAAAAGACCGTAGATTGCTTAAAGCTGAGGGACTGCTGATGGAACAGTCTGGAAAAAAATGGAGAACCTTCTACACTGTGGAAAGAACAGGACCTCAAAGCTGCTTTTCCCTAATCACTGTGTAGAGATTTTTTTAAAAAAAATAAATATCTTTTTTATTTTATCAAGTATAATTTGTCAGTTGACACTGGTTACTTGAGTTACCGTAATCCATAAACACCCCTCACCTCCATGGAATAAACCCTGGGATGCCGCATGGTGCCCTTCCCCTTGGCCTGTTCTGCATGGAGCAGTTTCTGTCCGTGGACTCGTGCCACGGGCCTCAGACACGTTGTTCTGCATCCACAGCCTTCCCACGGGCCCTGGCTAGCGGCAGGCTAGGGACCTGCCAGCTTCTGTCCCACCTTCTGGGAGTTTCCTGAGCATTATCTATTTTCATTTTATTTAAAAGATAGAGATCTCCCCTACAATGGTTCACTTCAGATGTGAGGGCGATCTAGCTGCGACATTTGTCACCCCGTTGATCACCAGGGTTGATTCGGCTGATCTGGCTGGCTAGGCGGGTGTCCCCTTCCTCCCTCACCGCTCCATGTGCGTCCCTCCCGAAGCTGCGCGCTCGGTCGAAGAGGACGACCATCCCCGCTAGAGGAGGACCGGTCTTCGGTCAAGGATATACAGCTGCATTCCCCTGCTAGAACCTCCAAACAAGCTGTCAAGATCCACAGTGGTCCCCTTCCCAAATGGCCACACTAGGCAGGCTGAAACATCCCTGCGCCAAAGGCCTGGCGCCACATTGTGCTATGTTGCCTTCTCTCTCTTGCTGTGGTCTCTGTTATCACAGGCGATGTATGTGCTTGAAAAGTTTCTCTCTGCTCTGTGAACCAATAGAATCTTCCTGCATGCACAGGAGCAGGCAATGATGCTCTGTGAGAGCTTTAGATGGTTCCATGGCACCCCCTACTGACCAGGGATGCACATTACAGATGCATTAAAATTGCAACCTCGAGGGTTGTAACCCAGGTGAGAATGCATCAAGGGACACTGGCCTGCTGGTGCCGCTCACAATTGAGCTACTTCAAATAAAATGCTCATTGTCTAGGCTGGCCCATGGCAAGCATTTAGGTTAAATTTTTATTCCCCTATCACCTTTTCATTTGAGAGACAGAGATCTTCCATCCACTGGTTGACTCCCCGAATACCCACAGAAGCCAGGAGCCTGGAACTCCGTCCAAGTCTCCTATGGGATGACAGGGACCCATGCACTTGAGCCGTCATTGGCTGTCTTCCAGATCAGAAGCAAGGGAGCTGGCCCTGCCAGCAGGCACTCTGAGGGGATGAGGACACCCCTGAAAGCGTCTTAACTCCTATACCGAGTGCCCACCCCGCACTTGATTCAGAACAGTGGCAAGTGGCAGTATTTTAAGTAATGTTCTTTTAAGATGGAAGAATGAGCTCACCACTCCATACAGTGACACTACATGGCTTACCCAATTGCCTCTAAAGCAAATTGAGATGGTTTTCCAGGAACAATGGGGTGGGAGGGAGCAGCATGGTGTAACCAGGTGGCTAAATGCAAGAGTTCTAATCTTAGGAGAGATTCTTCGTCATTTTCCTTCCTTACAACCATCTCTGGTTTTCATTTAAAGTAACAGTCTAGACAAAAAGCTATCCTACTGTTAATAAAAGACTGTAAGAATACCTTAAAGGATGCATAGATCTCTGTGTTTGTTCTGACTCTGCTTAGTTTTTGAAAGATTTGTTTATTTGAAAGGCAGAGCACAGAGAAACAGATCTTTCACCTGCTGGTTCACTGCCCACATGGCAACATTGGCTCAGGGCTGGGCCATGCGAAAGCCAGCAGTCTGGAGATCCGTCCAGGTCACTCGCTTGGATGGCAGGGGCCCAGGTACGAGTGCCATCTGTTGTTGCTTTCCCAGGCACATGGGCGGGGAGCTGGATTGTAAGTGGAGCAGCTGGGATGTCAACCAGCACTCATAGGATGCCATTGTTGCCTAACCCGCTGTGCTATAATGCAGACCCCTCTGCCTAGTACTTTGGCTTGTCAAGTCCAGACTGCCTTCCACCATGTCTGTGGCCTAGGACTGGAAGCCAAGAAAAGAGTAAGCCACAAAAGAATGCCGGGGGGGACCAAGGAGGCAGGGGAGAGGAGAGTTTTTCTGGACTTACTGCACTTTTCCTTTTGTCATTTCTATTTTGTAAATATATCTCTTTTTAAAAAAATATATTTTTTAATTTTTTTTTTTTTTTTTACTGAAAAGGCAGATATACAGAGAGAAAGATCTTCCATCTGCTGGTTCACTTCCCAAATGGCTGCAATGGCTGGAGCTGAGCTGATCCCAAGTCAGGAGTCAGGAACCAGGAGCTTCCTCTGGGTCTCCCATGTGGGTATAAGGTTCCAAGGCCTTGGGCTGTCCTTGACTGCTTTCCCAGGCTACAAGCAAGGAGCTGGATGGGAAGTGGAGTAGCCAGGATACAAACAGGCACCCATATATGATCCCAGCAGATACAAGGCAAGCATTTAGCCACTAGGCTACTGTGCTGGGCCCATCATCTGTATTTTGAAAGGTAAAGAGATGGCGAGAGCTTGTGTTTATTGGTTCCCTCCCCCAAGTGCAGCAGGCCTGAGCCAGGTCAAAGCCAGGGGCCCAGAACTCAGCCTTCAGCTTCCCTTTTGGCTGGTTTAATATGATGATTTTTGGGCTGGTGCAGAGGGTACTCTCCCCCACCACTGTGTCCTCACATGGTGGTCCCATCAGTCTCTGTTCCTGGATGCTAACCTCATTTGTAAGAATAGCAGTCAAATTGATAAGGACCCATCCTAGTGACCTCATGCTAATGTAATCACTTCTTTAGATAACTTATCTTCAAGTACTGTCTGTGCTGAGCTGAGGGTAAGATCAGGGCTTCAGTGGGCAGCTCTGTGGCATAGCATGCAAAGTGAAGAGGTCTGGGCTCAGCGTGATGGCTCGGTGACTTGTACTGGGGTTCCATGCTTGTACCGGGGTTCCATACAGGTGCCAATTCATATCCCAGCTGCTCCACTTCCCATCCAGCTCCCTGCTTGTGGCCTGGGAAGGCAGTAGAGGACGGCCCAAAGCCTTGGGACCCTGCACCCACATGGGAGACCGGGAAGAGGGTCCTGGATCCTGGCTTCTGATTAACTCAGCTCTGGCCCACAACTTTCATTTGTAAAGATTTATTTATTTGAAAGGTAGGATGATGGAGGGGTGAAAATAAGGGAGAAAAAGCAATCTTCAGTCCGGTGGCTCACTCACCGAGTGTTGTGGGCTAAGGAGTTGATTAGTGCTTGTTGGCCTGGGCAGGAACAGGAACTGGGCTTGTGGCTGAAAACGCCTAGAGTAATTGCACTCATCTTATCCAGTATCCTGCTAAATGAGGATGTGGGAGAGGTGTGGGAGAGGAAGAGTATATAAGGAGAAGTGAAGGAGCAATAGAGACTTCGCAGAGACTTTTACCATCACTGGTCTCCTGTTGGTGCTTCATCCCCAGACCCTCTCCGTGTCCACGTTATCGGCTCTGCTGGTCGGAGCAACCAAGCAGCCACAAGAGCCAGGGCTGAGCCAGAGCAAAGTCAGTAGCCAGGGATTCCATCCTAGTCTCCCCCGTGGGCAGCAGAGACTCAAGCACTATGGCCACCATCCACTACCTTTCCAGGAGCATTAGCAGGAAGCTGGGTTGGAAGTGGAACAGCTGGGATTCAAACTGGCACTCCTGTAATGGGGTGTGGGATCCTGAACTATGGCTTAATGCTGTTGTGTCACAATGCCTACCCTGTAAATAATTTGGATAAAAATCTGTTTTGTCCTCAGAACAGAAGGTGAAGTTCGGTTTCCATAGAGTGAAAAGGTCTTTGCTGTTATTGTGTTTTACTTTGAATGGGAAAGCAATGGAGAGCAGGAGAGACGCTGAGATCTTCCATCCACTGCTCCACTTCCGAGGTGGCCAGAACAGTCAGTTCTGGATCAGGCCAGAACCAGGAGGGAAGAACTCCAAACTAGTCTCCCACAAGAAGTCATCTGCTGCCTTGCTAAGTGCACCGTACGTAGGCTGCTGGGCGGAAAGCAGAGCAGCTAGGATTTGAACCAGTGCTCAGGGAATGCAGCAAGCAGCAGCTTAACTGGTTGTACCACAATGTTGGCCCTGAAGAGTCTCCATAAGGACAGAGTACCTGGAAATATAGGATGGAGAGGCAGAAAAAGAAAGAGGAACTGGAGTGACGGTGGACTCCAAGAACAGTGTGGATTCTTCACACATTGCTGCGTGGAGGAAGCTGCTTGGAGACACCACAAAAACCTCACAGTTTACCTTGCACCTAAACAGTCTTTCTGTACTTTGTTCTTTCAAGTCCTAGTGAGGGCACTGCATCCATCTGTCAGTTTGTAAGTATTTATTTACTTATCTGAGAGGCAAGGAGACAAACATGAATGGAGAGCTCCCATACACTTGCTCCTCCAAATACCCGCGATGGCTGGGGGTAGGCCAAGGCCAAAGTTTGAAGCTAAGAACTCAATCCAAGCATTCTATAAGCAGCTAGAGTCAGCCGCTGGAGACCAACTACCAAATTAAGAACTTCCTCTGATGGGGATCGCAGGCATCTAATACATCAGTTTTGTTTTGGGCAAATGTTTTATTTAGAAACAAACAAAATAATTTTCGGGTCTGGCATGCTGGCCTTGCAACTAGTCTTCATCTTGAACACACTGGGATCCCATATGGGCGCCAGTTCTAATCCCACTGGCCCGGCTTCCCATCGAACTCCCTGCTTGTGGTCTGGGAAAACAGTCAAGGACGGCCCAAAGCCTTGGGACCCTGCACTTGTGCGGGAGACTCAGAATGGGCTCTGGGCTCCTGGCTTCGGATTGGTGCGGCTGCAGGCACTGTGGTCACTTGGAGAGTGAATCATTGGATGGAAGATCTTCTCTGTCTCTACTCTCTGTATATCTAATTTTCCAATAAAAATAAATAAATAAATCTTTTAAAAAAATCAAAAAGACAGTAAAGAAACCTTAAATCACACTTTGTGGAATGAGTCCTCAAATCTTTTTAAGAAGCGGCTAGGGGGCACCAGCGTCCATACTGGGTTACTTGGGTTGGC